CCCCTCGAGGTGTAAAGAAGGTGTGGTGTGCCTCCGTGGGTCCTTTTTCCTCCTCCTCCTCACTGAAGACTCCTCCCCCACTTAGGCTTTTGATCAAGGAGCAGTCCTGTTGCAGCCATCCCACCCTCTGTCAATGTTTTTCTCCCTAGTAGACTCACTGGCTGCAGACTAAGGATTTTGCCTTGGGAAATAGTCCTCCACCCACCAGAATGGCTACCGATTTGCATTAACTGTAAAACCAATCATGCAGACTTGCATTGTGAAGCAGTAGAGAAACAGTTATTTTCTATCCCCATTTGAATATTTGGGGGAGGGAGGGGGCATATAAAGATCCTCCCAATATGTCCAGTTTTCCACACAGAAGACCTGGATTGTTTTTGAAGTTTTCTATTTTCTTTTAACTTTCAGGAAGCATCAACCCAAAACTCATCAAAGCAACTGGGAACAGAGACAGTTCTTAATTAACCATTAAGAATCATGCCACTGAATATGCTTGCTCTGCTACAGCGATCCCCTTTATTTATTTATTTTTCTTCTTTTGAACAAAATTAGGGAGGTGGAGAAAGAATTTGCCTCACCTTCCCAAGGCTGGCTCCACTCTTCCTTCCGGGCAAACCGCAAAGGAGTTAGTGAAACTTTCTTTTCTCATTAAGGAGATTCCTGCCACAGAACCGGCTCAAGGGCATCTCTGCCAGTTACCGGACTGGTTACTCATCTCCTCATTACAGGTAGCAGACCGGGAAGGGGGGTACGCAGCGCAGGGCTATTTCAAAATCTCTGGGTGAACAAAAAGGGGCCATTTCCGCATTCCAAGCCAGATCTTGTCGCCCTCCCCCGCCCTGGGAGGAAGGGCCCCATTTATTAAAAGTGAACTCAACGTTCTTGCGTTACTGACGAGGGAGGCATTAAAAATAAATCAAGGTCATCCTGGTCTCCCTAAGTGCTGATCCCAAGCTCTTATTATTCATATTTTCACGGCAGCTGTCACTTTTGCCATAGTTCACCAAGCACACACCGGAATATTTTGGTCTCTACTTTTAAAAAGGAAAGCTATGCTGCTCACAGCATTTTGGGGCATGTATAATTAACTTGTTTTTGTGAGTTTGTTCCCTAAGCTTGCCAGCTTCTTCAATTAAAAAAAAATCTCTTACGCCAGCATGGTAAACAAAAGGTAAACGCTTATTTAGGTAAGTGTTTGGCCTCCCCATTTCATTGCACAGATGAAAGTGGCGAAGCAGCTGAGGCACAATTAAAGTGTTTAATGAAACCCCATAAAACCAAGATTAAAGAGCAGCCACTGACCCATTCAAGAAGGGCCAGCAAAAGGTAATGAAACAGCATTCAAGTATGGGGCAGTGCCTAAACATTTGGGGAATATAATAAAGGCAGAGATGCAGCCCTGGCTCCTAGAAAAGAGGCTTTCCTGGCCAGGGAAGGGCACTTTCCAACCCCCTGGAGGCATTGGACCTAATGCTGAAATAAGAAAGTCCTCCAGCCGAGAGCTCAACGCACTGCAATTCACGTGGAGACAATCTTCTCAACAACAGTAGAGAGATTGTTATCCTACTGCCTCCTTCCCAAAAACGTTTTTTTCAACTTTCCCATCTTCTCCTGCCCTGGGATTCTGTGTAGTCTCCCTTCTGACCCTGTTCTAGGGAGCACCTGGAGACCAGGTGAGGGGGCCTGCTGCTTCCTGGGAAAGACCCCTGTCCTCGTCACTCAAGAGCCACCTGCAAGGATCCTGGGCCCAGCAAAGGATGGGATCAACGTCCCCCAAGAGAATAACAATAGAAATAGACTTATATACTGCTTCATAGCGCTCTACGGCACTCTCTAAGCAGCAGAGTCCCTAAGTCTCTCTAAGTTATAGAGTCAGCATTATTGCCCCCAACAATCTGGAACCTCCTTTTACTGACCTTGGAAGGATGGAAAGCTGAGTCAACCTTGAGCCGGTCAGGATCGAACTCTTGGCAGTTGGTAGAATTAGCCTGCAATTCAGATGCTAAGAGGGAAACCGTCCTTGGAGGAGGTTGTGAATAAGAAAACGAAACTAACAGAAAGGGTGTATACTCAAACGTTAGTCCTTTTGTGTTGAGGGGATTTGCTTTCTGACAGACATGTTGAACATCTTTTCCCTCTGAGAAAATTCTCGTGAGCCACTATAGCGCTTGAGATATTAAAAATAACAAAAAGGGTGCACGATTAGCTGTCACCACATACGTATCACCCAGGAATTCATCTCCTCCTCTTTAAAGACGTCCTGGTCAGAGGGAGAATTCTATCGCTTAGCCACCTATCACTGCCTGGTGAATCTCCAAGCATCACCTTATTCAAGATCCCCAAGGGACTTGTACGGTGCGACAGAGGAGTTTTAGGAAAGTGTACTCCCCTTTCCCAAATTTGTGCCTCAACATCCATCATACCACTTCCAGCTGGTGTGGCCAACAGAGCAAATGTGCATCACAATCAGATGGTTAACGTCTGGATGTGCCTTTTGAGGGAAGAGAGGAGGGGGGAAAGAACGGAAGCCGAAGGTGGGGAAAAGGTGGATTGGAGCAGCCAAGGGAGGGATCTTAGAACATCCTGGGCAAAATGTGCTCCCTCCAGATTGCAGCCAATAACTGAGGCTTTCCCAACCCTTCGGGCTTTTCAAAAGCTCAAGCAAACCCTCTTGTTTAGGTTGGAGGGAAGAGCTGGACCTTTTCCGTCAGAACAGGCGCTCATTCTTCTCTGAACATGCCCACCAGCAACACTTCTCTGCATACTTGGCCACTGGCACAGGCAATGGCCAGAGATCTGCATTGTCCAAACGGCCAGGCCGCTGGACGCCAGATGACATTTCGCAGCCCTGGCAAAGTCTCTCCACCCACCTCGCTTGTGCTTCCTTCCCCCTCTTTCTTGCACCAGCCCTAAACGGCTATGGGGACACACGGTATGGAAGAACTTCTAGGTTTAGGTGGCTGGACGCAGGAGGAAGGGCCTGTTTACGACTAGAGGTCTCTGGGTTGGAAATATTCTCAAAAGCAAGAAAAGGTCTTTGCACAATTTGCTACATCTGGATCCTAGAAGGATCTGGGGTTATTAATTGGAAGCTAATTTGCTTTCTCAATAACGGAGAACAGAGCCCAACCACCTAGCCTTGCATCTGCCCCCCCCCCGGGATACCACCCAACCCATAATGCTTTACCTCCTCTTGAATACCAGCAGGGAAACTCAAGGAAGGAAACCCAGAAGCGCAGCTAAGTGGTTGTGTTGAGCACAACCCAGAAGACGGAACAAAATGCCACTTGGTTTTCAACTTGAGCATGACATTGCAAGGGCGTGGGGGAGCAGAATGTGGCTGGATTATGGAAGCCGCATTTTGAAGGAAAATAAGAAAATTAAATCACAACGGTGCCGTTTAGGTAAATCCAGATGGGTCAAAGGATTAGTTGCAGCAAACAGAAGTGCTGAAGAGCTGTTTAATATCCAGGCCCCACAAGTTACCTGTAATTAAATGTAGATATCCCCTGGTTATAAAGGTAATTAAACCCATCCATCTGCATGCCTTTGCTACACTCAATCAACACAGCTTAAAATTACGAGAACGAGATATGATTTTAGTGATAAATAAAACTGTAACAATTACCAGCTAGGTGGTTCAGAGTATAACAACTCAGTTGGTACTCTTCCAGTGCCAGTGTTTGGGGGAGAATGAGACGCACACCGCAACAGCACTTGCATCAGCTTCCCTCTTCCTTTAGAAAACCCAGATGCCCAGAGACCTGGCCTTTGAGCTACAGGAACAAACCATTCCAGCTCTCTCGCCAGGCTGGCCTGAGGCTTCCGGGGGTGGGGGGGAATGCCGATTCTCTCTCAGAAAAGAGTCAGAACAACCTCTCTGGGCTCATCCCTTTCCCAGCTAGACATTCTCCCAAAGCTGAGCTCAACACCCATTGTCTGAAAGAATTCTCTACCACTGGCCCAGCCTGCCAAGGTCTCCTGCAATCGTCCTGTGGAGGGGGAAGGCAGGAAGCTGACTTCACATGGGGCCCTTTTCCTTCGGATGGATTGCCTTCTGGTCTCTGCATTCCTGAGGAACAGGCAGGATCAGAACTCGAAGGGATGCCGACTACACATCCTTCTCCAGAAATCTGAATGTTTTAGAAGTGGAAGGAAAGTTATGGAGGGGCTTGGAGCAGGAGCCTGGGCGGTGGAACTCTTTTGAACTGGAAGGGGAGGAAAGGACTATTCGATCCTGCATTCATTCCCTGGGAGCAAAGGCCAGCATGGTCATCGTGGCTTAGTTGTTTGTACCCTTCGCTGCCTACCCTGTAAACTGTAATCTATAAAAAGCAGAGCTGTGGGAGGACAAGTTATTTTCTCGATGTGCATTATATTCTCCCTTTTGCAAACATGGTAAGATCCTTGAATCAGACCATTTCCTGTCCTTTTTACGGCAGACACATAGATCAATTTCACACGGGTAGAATAATTAGGATGAATGTTAGCTACTTATGTGGTGCATTCACACATACAACGCTTTGCCCTTCGGCAGGCTAGATTCTCCTGGCCCAAGCAGATCAGCAGAAAAGCCTATCCTTGCAGGTGGATTGTCCACTCTGTGCCTAATCTAAGGACACATTTGTACAGTGTCGCATCCTCTCACCACACAGGCTGCCAGATCTCCAGGTTCAGTCGGTGGACTCAGCTCTGGGGCCTCCTTGGGGCTAAATGGGGGGGAAGAGTAACTCTGAGGGGGCGAGGGCCAGGACCAGACCCTCCTCTGGATTTGGCTCATCTCTGCTCTATGGTTGGCCCTCTTGGGACATCTCCAGAGCGCCCAGCCAACTGCCTTCCTTCCATAGGAAGCGGTCCATCTCACACTTTCTGCAGGCAAGAAAAGCGGTGACCTTGTTCCGATTTTGTTTTTGTTACATTACGTTTATTTTCACGGGATTTTTAAATTTTTCTTTCTCCTTCTTCCATTTGCTACAAAAAAATAAACGCGCAGAAATGTCTCCCATGATTTTCAACCTTTTATGTCAGATTGATAGGAGCACGAAAGGCGGCTGTTGCAACCTCAGGTGTAGCCGACCAGGCGAGGCGTGCTGGGGAAGGTTTTCCGCATCCCCATGCACTTCTCCTTGTCGATAAACAGGCTGTTGGCCTTCACCATCAGGTCGTGCTCCAATTTCGACTTGTTCAGGATCAGCAGCTGGAGAGTATCCTGGGCTTCACGCAAGCGCAACTTCAGAGTCTGGAGGGTGTCGTCGATTGTGAACACTTCATTCACCAGCCTGAAAGAGAAGGGAAAGGAAGGGGTCACGGCTGCTGGGCCTCCCTGGGAAGCTGCCGGGTCCTGGGACAGCCGCGTGGAAAGCCACCGGCTCTGGGCACAAAGCACACAGAGACCTGCTTGTGTTTTGCTTCTTTCTTAATGCAATGAGTTCTAGGGGCTTAAAAAGATATTCACAAATTAGCCAGGACTAACAGCGATAAAGAGAAGCCTTGAAGCAGAGTTGACTTGGAAGGCTGGTGGATTCCCTCCCCTTCCTGCTCTATTAGAAGTAGCAGAGCCCCCTGCCGGCTGCCTCTGCCTAAGTCCTGCCTCAGCCTCGGACGCCCGGAACCAAAGCCCAGATGCGGAAAGGGACCAGGGGCACCAGCCGGCAGGGCCCAAAGCCGGCCTCAGAAGACGTGAAAACCGCCTGAGCCGGAGAGGCAATCCAGGCAGGGCTCAGGGAGGCCCCCCGCTGGCCTCCTTTAAAGCAGCAGCCTCTGTCAGGGCTGAGGTGGCTACCGCCAAAGGATGCAGAGTTGCAAGCGCTGCAGCACTCACTTGAACTGGGGGACGTCCCGGCACAGCTCCATGTTTGGCCGCCGGGTCCTCGCTTCCAGGCGGGTCTGGGCCACCTTCAACGGACACTCTTTGGCCATGATGGCTCTTTCCAGTAACATGATGGTGTTCTCTGTCTGGAAGATTTCTTGAAGAGTCTGAAAGGGGAAGTAAAGATCCGTGAGAGTTTTGAAAAGAAAAATTCCTGCCAGCTTCCTAATCCTCTCATGCAAAGAATGGAAACGCTGCACGCCAGAATGGGAAAATCCTCTGGGATATTTTCATCTGAAAATTGGAATTATCCCAAATCACAGAATTCCACCCATTTTAGTTTCACCCAACCTTCCTTAAAAGGTGGAGCTGGAAACAGAGTGAGCCCTGGCCAAACCTATTAGTTCCCAGCTGTATGACTGTGGATGCAGCTTCAGATCTTTGACTTTATATTTGACTTCATAATAGCTACTGACTTATTTTCAGCTTGTGATCAATTACAAAATGTCTTTCCTACACATATCCACTTATTCTGCACCCCGTACCTATGCATCTGATTTCTCTTTCATAAATTATGCACTCTGAATGGCTTCTATTATTGGCCGGGGAATTCTGAGAGTCAAAGTCCACGCATCTTACAGTAGCTGAAGTTGACAAAGGCTGCTCTAAGCAACTGCTTTTTTTTTTTTTCAAGTATTAGCTATTCTGTCCAGTTTCGCATTATTTGCTCAACCCTTCCTGCAGTTCATCACACGAGGCTGTTGAAGATTTCTGGGCCCAGGATCTGGCCCATTCTGATGAGGATGACGCTGGCTTTCAGGCCAGCAAAAAATTTTGCACTTCCACATTGTTTCCACAAAAACTACCCGGAAACTATATCCCCAAATGCACACACCCAGGGCTCAAGCTTCATTCAAAGGCAACTTTTCCTCTTTTTTAAAAAAATCATTTATTAATCAGGGAATATATAACTTAAAACCTGGGAAGACAACCCCTGGAGACCCTGAACGTGTGATATTGAACTGCAATTTTTAACTTGCCAGAAGGAGAAAATAATTAAATGCACATGGAGCATTCATTGTGATTAATTGATCAACACTGATTTTAATTAAAATCCATTTAGATTTTGTTCAGGTCCCTTTTTGGTTTTTTTCCCTACGGCCCCAGGCAAAATAGTCAAACCTTCGAGTAAGGCAAGCAGGCCAAAAATATTGTGCTAATTGGTCTGGAAAATTTAGCACTACACTTGCTGTTATGGAGCCGGGCTGATAATAAATCTGGATGAGTACATTTTGATCTCTCTCAGTTAAAGTGAGTAATGTGGCCGAAATATCTGTGCATACGTCCAGCAAAATAAACTTAGTATATAAACAACTTTGTGGCTGAGATTCAAGATTCTTTCACGGATTTGTAGCAGCTGGAATACAGGAAGTGCCTATAAGATGGTCAAGGTCCTCCATGTTTCTATGCTTTGCTTCACCCCCAGCCTGCTTGGACAGCCAGGACCTTTACTGCCAGGGCCTAAACTAAGATGAAGAACTTTTTTTCAAGAATAATGAGATACGTTGCATCTCTATAAATTAATACCGGCCCCAAATTGGCACAAAAGAACATGGTCATCATCCAGAAGGCATCAAAGAATGCAGTCCTGCCCCCTCTTCCAGCACAGCCCCTCCCTGGGGAGGGCTTGAACCAAGTGGTGACACGAATATCTGGTTCTCTTCTTTTGGGTGTTTCACGAGTCATTAAAAAGGATGAGCTTCTAACTTTCCCACAGTCGGATCTAAGAACAATAAGCATACTCAGCAAGGGTGGGCCAGGAGTCCCAACACTTCCTTGCCGAGACACCGAAGAAAAACTAAGCCGTCTGAAGGAGAAATCCAATCTCCTCTAGCGGAGATGCAAAAAAGGCGGGTGTGCCAAGGGAGGGGGCGGGGAAGCATTGGGAGGGCTGCTCCCATACTTAAGCCTCAGCCTAGGAAGAGGACCAAGCACAAAGCCAGATCCAGCCTGGCTTGTTTATTTCTTTACTTCTTCTTGTTCTGCTTCCTTTCCTTCTCTTTTGGGGGGGAAACTTTCCCGCTGAATTTCATGCCAAGAAACAGAATAACTGACAAGCAGTCGACAATTCTCTTCCCCATCAGCATCTGAAATGTGAACTCAGAATCCAAACCAGACATTCAGCCACTTTTAAACCTCAGCAGAAAGTGTTGTGATAGGTATGATTTGAAGTCATATCCTGCTGCTTTCTATTTTAAAAAAACAGAATGAAGGAAAAGTGGGAAGGGAGTGGATGTGTATTTGCAACCTGGTCAGCCTTCCTGCCCAACAGCAATGTGATCTTAACTATACCTAATGACTACATATAAAATTCACAATGCAAAATAATTGACATCATTTAAAAGGGTGTAATCTTATTAGCAGGTGATGTCAACAACTCTGCATCATTGAAGAGCTGTATTTGAAGGATCAGAAATCACTGCACCAAAAAAAAGGTAGATTGGATGTAGATTGATTTCTATAGCTCTTCAAAAGATACCCTCCTGTTCCAGAAAATAAACACAAATTAGCTCACTGGCATTCTTAACTATTCAATTAAGTTCCCTTCTGGCTCCACTATGAGCAAAGGAAGAGGGACACACGTTCCTTTTTTTATAGGATTAAGGGTTGCTTTCATCTCTTTCCTATGTCACACGAAACACCAGAGACTCACTCAATGGAAGACATCACTTAAAACATTTCAGCCTCTCTTTAATGTGACACAGAAGCGATGTAAAAAATGTGTGTTCCTGCTCTGTCTAACTATACTGGTTTAATCTGAATTCAAACAGGCCTAGATTTATTATAGAAGTTATTGGGGGGGAAACTGACAAAGGTTTCACTTAAAGCAATAATTCATCTCCATGCTTGTGACTGTTCTCCTGCCCTGCAAGAGATTGGAACAAGAAACTTATTCATGCCAAGCCTGCCTGCCCACGTTGCCCAGCGCTTTTGTGAGGTTTCCCAACAAGGCCTTCCTCTCTCGCACTGCTGGATTGTCTCTGGTTTGGTGACATCACAATGCAGTGTGGGCAGAGCAGACCGATGGCGCTCTTGTCTTCCCCAGCGAAAAAGCACAGAAGGTCAGCAAACTTCACGAAACAGGGAGTTCCTGACTTGCCTACTCCGACAGCCTCCACATTTGCTCTCAACAACCATTCTGTACAGTGTCCCATCAGACAGTCACTGAAGTAGAGGCTGTGAACTGCTTAGCAAGAGAAATTCTTGTCCCAAATGTGGTCATTAAGATGAGGACTACCTGTCCTAAGGGACATGTTGTTTCAGTTTGCTATTTCCAGCAGCGGAATGTTTAGAGATGAGTCTTGGTACAGGGTCTCCAGCTTGAGCAGGGGGTTGGAGTAGATGACCTCCAAGGTCCCTTCCAACTGTTATTCTGTTATTATCTAGAGCAGGGTCGCCAACCGTGGCAGCTTTACAACTTGTGGACTTCAACTCCCAGAATGCCACAGCCCACCAGTCATAAAGTTGCCAAGGTTGGAGACCCCTGCGGTAGAGACTCCGACAGTTTTTCTGGACATAAACATATGAATGAGATTCTGCCAGCCCAGAGCAAGTCGGATGCTGCCCACATTGCCCTACCTTTGCCAGCTGTGCTTGCAGCTGGTTCTTGGAATCTGCAATTTCTGATATGCGAGAGGTAAAGGCCAAGTTGCTGTCGGTCCACTGTTTCCACATATCATCCGAAGTGACTTCCAGGGTGTGGTTCGCTTCCTCGCAGAGTATGGCCGAGTTGGCTCGGGCATTCTGGGAATACCGGATGTTGTCATCACTAAACTTTGCCCACGTTTCAGGGACTGAGACTCTGCAAGATAAGAACCAGAGTCGCTTTGGATAATGAAAGGAATCTATTCCTTCAAGTTACAGGGGATCTGGTCAAAATTATAGCACGGTGCTAATAACGGGAAAGATCAGTACGGCATATACAATGTTCCATTAAAGGCAGAGCGGTCATTTCTCTTCTTGCTGCATGTGGAATGGTGAAAAACATCTCAGAGGAAAAAACTGAGACAACTAGTGAGTTTGTGCAGCTCCGTGTACACAACGGAGAACAGGACCTCTCATAAGAACCGTGCCTACGGAGATTCTCAGTCACCCGGCCATAGTCCAGTTGCCCTGTGAGAAAGCACCTTTGGGATAACATAAGAACCAATTAAAATTGTTGAGGACCAATCTAAGGTAGGTGTCAAATCGTTTAATATGATTTCACTCTAGGAAAAATGTTTTAAGATTTTTTTCCCCTTATTTTTTTCTGTAAGGCAAAACACTCAATGATATCACTGATCCAGTGGGTCCAATTATCAATGAAACTGCACTGACAAACTTCAAGAGATCGGCTTTTCCTTATACTCGCATTCATTTAGCTGCTACCTAGATGACCATGAGGGAATAGTCCTGTACTTACGTCCCATCGATTTTCTCAATTCCATGGTAGTAGTTGATGCTGTCCGAAGTATTCCTCAAATTATAGCATTTCTCATCAATAAAATGAGCTGAACTTTTATCACCAAGATCCCTCTCCAGCGCATGTTGAGCATCTCTGTTAAGGCTGGGACAAAGATTTATGTGGTTACCTTATTTTCTCTCCCAATATTATTTAAAGGAGTCACAGAACACCCATTAAAAAGGTGCAAAAAAATTCTCTACGTTCCCAAATTGTAAAAAAAAAAAAAAATCATGAATGTTATCCTATACGTTTGTCACTTTTACAAGACTGTAAGTGTGTTTACTGAGTTCCTGATTATAACACATTCCTTTCGGTCAGACAAAAGACAAAGGAGTTCTGCTAGCACTACCTGTTGAATTTCTGCCTACTGTGACATTCAAAGTAAAATATGTGGGTGCGTGATGGTGGTCAAGGAATAAGAGGCCCAACAATCTTTCTCCTTTAGCTGCTGCCCTTTCTTTCACTTCTTGCCTTTACTTCTGCTTTGCCATCTGGGCGCTCTCCAGTTAGACAGTTCTTGCTACTGAGAGCCGCCCAATGAGCTGCCTGTTGTTTGCTAAAGGCCCGCCCCTCCTAAAGACCTTGAACAGCTGCAGCTCTTGCATCATCTCCAGCATCCATCAATCAATCAGACCAACTCATCACCCCCCTTTAAATAGCAGCTTACTTGCTTCAAAGCTTACTTAATCTGCTGGTCGATTCTTTCTGCAAGCTTTCTCATCTTCTCTTGGCACGCCCTGATCAAATCAACCTCCTAGAATAAAAAACACACTGATCGGAGATTCTACAAAAATCGAGGGAAAGACACTTTGCAGAGGATTCTGTCCTTGCGAAGGCCCAGCAAAGGGAAATAAACGATAACAGAGAATTAAAGGCCTTGGTGATATTTTGATGCCTGGTGACATGACGGAGACATCCGTGTAATTTTAGCAGCAGCTCCGGAGAGGTTTGTCCTGGCCTTCCTCCAGGACATATGCAGACATGGGAAGAACATCTGGTTTATTTAAAATGCAAAAAGATCCTTGTGTTACATTTATATCCAACTGCATGCTGGGAATTGTGATTCTCATTCATTTTTATCAGCAGGAATCTTAAATTAACATGGACCTTATCAGATGTTTCAAGGGAGACTCCTGATTGAGATATCTGCACCAAAACACACCAGGAACCTCAAGAGTTATTTGTTGAACTCTGAACTGAGACAAAAGTTTCATCATGCCTTACAGATATTACTGAACATAACAGACACAGAGCTAAATGGAAACATGTATAGAATTGTTGTGAGTTATTATCTTTCAGTAAGTCTCAGTGGCTGGGAATGATGGGAGCTGAAGTTCAACACAGCCTAAATGTGGGAAACTAGCTGCAGGCTAATCCTCGCCCTCTTGAAATAGGTGAATTTTAAACAAGTTGTCAGCCTTATTAAGTAGACCAGACAGGAAATACCACCAAGCTCATTCTACTTTATTCGCAAAGCTACACTAACAGAATTTTGCAAGTCTGAAAGTACAATTCTCCCGCCATCTCCCTCGCAGCCTGAGAAACTAGGCAGGGTCCCTCCTGAGCCTCTCGCCCTGCCCGCTTTCCAGCTGTGGGCTCTGCTGCCTCTTCTCGGACCATTTCCTAGGCAGCCTCTCTTCGCCCCGTCTCCCAAGGTCTTTCCCACCGTCATCCCACTGGACTAATCTTACATTAGTGCAACTTTCTTTATATGAAAAGTTCCTGCACTCAGAAAATGAAAAAAAAAAAAATCCTCTTCCTGGCACGCAACCAGATGTCTTCAAACAAGCTGACAGAATATTTGCTTTTGCTCTGAATGATTTCTGGTCAGCTTATCTTTCCATGAACAAACCCCAAGGACAGGAAGAACAGGAAAACAAAAACTCACCATTTAAATGCTACCTTTTGGCAATTGCTTACAAACCATTTTACAATACCTGTATGAGATTCCTTTCCACGTGATCGTGGACCAAGTCAATTCCCATCCGTTTTTCCCGATTGTACAAACATTCCAAGGCCACCTACGAGCAATCCAGACAAATCGGTGAGTACAGCTAACACTCCCAATTATAAGCTTTTGATGTTGGGAATTTTGTTTTCATTTTTCCAAAGTGATACGCTGATCAGCCTGCCATCCTCAACAGCCCACGTTCTTTTTCTAGCCTAATACCGGTAGCTACAAGAAGCTAAAATGAAATTGTGCTGGATGCAAAGGGGACCAGCATGGACTGCTACTGTAGGATCTGGGCAGCAAATTTGGAGTTCGGGAATGGGGGGGGGATAACTAGAGGGGTTTTTTAAATCTCTTTGCTGTCCTCTAGTGGTTGTCTGGATTTTGGCAACAAAAATCTGGTAGCTCTAGCATAGCGGTTCTCAACCTGTGGGTCGCGACCCCATTTGGGGTCGAACGACCATTTCACGGGGGTCGCCAAACAACGCGATCCGCCATTTTTTTTCCTCAGCTGGCGCAGGGGGCGGTGCCGCGCATGCGTGCCGCGCAGGGGATGGTGCCGCGCATGCGCGCCGCCTCCTTATGACCGGGGTCACCGGTATAAAAAGATTGAGAACCACTGCTCTAGCATGTCCCCCCCCCACTTCAACGGATGAGCAAAGATAACCAAGGGGACAGAGGGGGATGGGTGAAGAGGATGAGAAGCTCCTGCCTCAAGCCAGCTTTGGCTATGGCTGCTTTGGGGTCAACAATGTTACGTCCTGATTTGAAGAGAAAAGCTAATATGCCACCTAATGGCCAGTTTTAATCTCACAGCAAAGTTGACATGAGCAGCGCACTTAATGTCTCTAAGGGCTGCATAACACTTCAAAAAAATCCCTTTCATTCTCTGAATCCTAGTGCTTTTTTACACTATATTCACTTAAGAAAGTGGAATTCTCGCCATTTTCTTCTACAACTGATATTTTGTGAGAAGGCACCGACAATATCATTAACATTACAGAAATAATTCTTGGGCACACGGACAAAGCTTCCAAAAGGCTCCATAGGAGCACTTTTACCTACTTACATTCAGAAACATAAACTGATATAAAATTATACAGCCTGGATTCTGATTAGATAGAATTCTTTATTGGCCAAGTGTGACTGGACACACAAGGAGTCTGTCTCCGGTGCTTGGATTGGAGAGGGAAGCCAGAGCTTCTTTGACTCCCAATGACGTTTTCCAAATGGGCACAACCCCGCTTAGCTTTTAGGTCAAGGTCAGGCTGGTGCTGCCACCAGCAGAGAAGACCTCACTGCTTCCAGAGCTTCGGCACAGATTCCTCCTCCTTTCTGAGCTCGAAAGAAATTGCTGTTCTGGCCTTTAATACAAAGAGAAGAATTGCCATTTCTGAAGCAATCTGCCTAAGCATTTTTAATTTCTTCTGAGATACTTCATGGAAGCAAATGCCAGAGAGACTTTTTCTAGGGCAGAATCTATAATTTGGAAGAGTGTTTTTCTCTGTATCTCCACTGCAGACCGCCTTTGGCAGAGAGCACAGGTCGTTTTATCTTGCTTGTCACTTTGTGAGGCTATTGATGACCTAGTTTAAGGATAGCTTAATAATAAAAAGTATGTTGCTATCCATCCAAGGGCTTGCCTGCCATTCAAATGATGCTGCAGTGTTACAGCAAAGGAGAATGTTATAGAACTTAGTTCTCCAGCACCCCACATTAATAGCAACCTGACAGCACTGGGGGTGCCCCATGCCCCACTTGCCTGTAAAGGCCCCTGGGCTTCATCAGCCGCACACTCCAGCCGCCGCTTGGCCGTGTCCAGTGCACGGGTATCATGAAGCAGCCGCTCAAGTTCATAGGTCAGCTCGGACCGCCAGAAATCGATATCGGCCAGCCTCTGTCCGAGGTTCTTCCCAGAATCCTCCTGCTGCTGCCAAGTCAGCTGGTCCTTGTCTTGCATGAGCCGCGCACTGTCCGCGTTCAGCCGCCCGGCCCAGTGCCGGTAGGCCTCCGACCCTTTGATCTGCACGGCGTTGGCTTTGTACCAGTCGTGGGGACTGTAGCGGGCATAGAGAGACGACCTCACCGAGGGCAGGATGGTCGGGGGACGCAATGGGGCACTGAGGCGACCGGCCCCCTCATCGCTGGGTCGGAAAGCAGAGACCTTGTAGAAGAGGCTGGGCCTCCATGAGTTCAGGTAGCGATAGCCTGGCAGATAGTAAGCCTGGTAGCTGTCATGGCTGAGGCTGGTGGGGGTCACCTCCGGCAGCAGGCAGCTCTTCTTCGGTCCGCAGTAGCTGGCCGTCTGGGTGGTGCCCAGGAATTCCATCAAATGCCGAGGGTAGTCACCAACCTCCCTCGCAGCCCAAAGCCCAAAGGCAATTCAGCTGCCCTGGTGGGGGGGGTGCCTCTGCCCCTGCAGCCCAGCCCTGGCACTGTGACTTGGCGCTGGTGTCACAAAAGGGCCCCAAAGGCCCTGCCCTGCCTGCTTAAAATGCCTCCCTGCTTGCCCTGAGCCAGGCTTTCTCAGGCTGGGCAACCTGAGGATGGGTGGACTTTAACCCCCAGAATTCCCCAGCTGGCATGCCGGCTGAGGAATTTGTGGGAGATGAAGTCCATTCATCTGGAGGGGGGGGTCAGGCCTCAGCCGCCACCTTCCCTGTCCCCGAGTGACCCCAAGCCAAAGAGCTGGGGGCGCTGAGGGGGCGCACTCTCCCCAGCTGTGGGGCCGACCAAGGCCGGAAAAGAGGGGGCGGCTTCCCTCCCCCCCGTGGCTAAGCCCCGTCCCGCAGCCTCCCTCCGGTCCCCAACCGGAACTGCATCGCCCGCTCCCTTTTTCCGGGGGAGGGATTCTTTCGGTGCGCCGCGGCGGAGCCGTTTTGGCGTCCCTCCTTCGGCCGGAAGTGCCGCGCTACTACTTCCGCAGTGGCGCCGCGATGGCCGAGGGGAGCGGGTTTTCCGTCGACGTCCGGCCTCACGGTGAGCGGGCGGGGGTGAGGGTCGCCGGGCCGAACTCTTCCCCGCGCCCACCCTGGCCTGGCCGACGCGGGGGCTGACCTACTAAAAAGAGGGCCCCCCCCCGGCCTGTGGCTCCTCGTCTTCCTCCGGTGTGAATATTCCCCTTTTTCGTATCTCTCCAGACTGTCCGGGCACCGGCAGCAATGAAGCAGGCAAGGCTGATGCTTGCCAAGGATGCCCCAACCAGGGCTTGTGTTCCTTGGGGCAGCTTGCTGGCCCCGACCCAGGTATGTGTGCGTTATGCCGTGGAGCCTGGAGAAATGGTCTTGAGAGGACGCCTCTAATGGCAGTTTATGGGGTTCTCAGAATGCTTTTTTGCATTTCCCTTCCACTGTAAGTGGGGGGGGGATTTAATGGCAGGCTGGGGGCTAGGCCTGTTGTCGGGCCACTCAGTCATGAGAGGAAGGCCATGTTCCATATCCTACCCGACTCCCTCCATCTTCAGATACAAATATCTTTTATTTATTAAAGCTTTTTCTGTTGTTTTCCCCTCCATGAAGCCATTGAGGAAATTAAGGAAAAAATGAAAACTGTCAAGCACAAGCTGCTGGTGCTCTCTGGGAAAGGAGGTGTGGGTAAGAGCACATTCACTGCTCTTTTGGCCCATGGATTCGCAGAGGATGACACTACACAGGTGAGGGTCTTCTGTATAACACTTCATGTCACAGGTTGTTGAAACGGTGGCCTGACAATGGAGATGAGGAAGAGCAAGCAATTTCTCATGATGGCTTCCTGAGGAAGACTGCACATAAATAATGTTGCTTGATTGTGAATAGGAGTGATAATGGAAAGCTGTTTTTAATCTGATTTTCTGAGTTCTTAAATAAAGCAATAATTGTTTTATTATGTCCCTTCCTGGAGTCATCCCTATGATCAGTGAAAAGGTTGCAATAATCCCATACATATTTTTGTGGTATCTTTGAAAGTAAAATTGCAAATCCTGACGATCTCTTCCCACTCCAGGTTGCTGTGCTGGACATTGACATTTGTGGACCATCCATTCCAAAAATCATGGGCCTTGAGGGAGAACAGGTGTGGCTTTGTATGTCAGAAACGGTTCTTTGTGTTGCTCTCTGATTCAGAATGTCAGTGCTTCTGCCCCGCAGCCCTTTTTAAAATGCAGCTTTCTAGATAAAAGTAACCTGGACACTCTTTTTATTTTTGGTTTAGTGGTTCTGCAAAGTGGGCACTGGTCTTTTGGAATCTAATAATAAGCTGTACTTAAAAGATCTATCCCAAAACAGAAAATTCTGTTGTAGCAAACTTGCATGTTTCTAAAATAGGGTGCCCAGCTCCTCTCCCTGATTGGGGTGATGCTTGTTGATTGTCAATCTCTTACCAATATCTAGCCTTGTAGTATTTATGTACTGATTTTTTTCTAATTACATGGATATTATCACCATAGATCACCTGTCACTTTGAATTACAAACTTAGAGCAATAGCAAATTATTGTGATACTGGGTGTTATATGCATATTAACATTTTGAAATCTTCTTTTCAGGTTCATCAAAGCGGATCAGGCTGGTCTCCAGTGGTGAGTTGCTGCTGCTGTTTCTTAATAAACTATATGAGAACTCTGGTCTTTTCTGCTGATTGCTACTTCCAGTCACAAGAAATTAGGAACTACATTTCAATAATAATAAAAAAGCAAGCATTACATGGCCTCCCCCATATTCCCCTATTTTGGTGCTGAAGCCCCCTATATTACGTAATTTACTGACTGTGTACAGATTTATTTAGTTTCTGAAGAAGTTTGGCCTAGATACAGATTTACTTGATCTCTGTGTGAACTCTATGAGTGATAAGGCTATAGCTGTTTCATACACATAAATAATAATATATTTGTAGTTTTTTTTGTTTTGTCAGTTGTGTATGTGCTTCTTTTTGTCTTCTAGTATGTTGAAGAAAACCTGGGTGTGATGTCAGTGGGGTTTCTGCTGAGCAGCCCTGATGATGCCGTTATTTGGAGAGGACCAAAAAAAAACGGTTTGTGTCTCTTGGTCTCTGCAGAGGATGTGAGCTGCTGATTTACATCTGGATGGCAGTTGCTTCTCTACTTCTGGAACTTCCACAAGTTTAGTTAAAATTAAACTAACTCTAACTAGCGCTTGATAACTAGTTGATAATTATTTTTGTCTGATGGCCATGTGAAAATATATTAAGAAAAATACATTGCAGCACAAAGACACATTTGATGCGGGCAATTGGGATATTTTTAGCCCCCCACCCCCAGCATCCAGTTTCTCCCTTTATTTATTTCTTATTATTATTCTTTTTAGGGATGATTAAGCAGTTTCTTCGGGATGTAGATTGGGGTGAAATTGACTACCTGATTGTAGATACCCCTCCAGGAACATCAGATGAACATATATCTATAGTCCAGTATCTCAGCACTGCCGGAGTCGATGGGGCTGTGATCATCACCACCCCACAGGTAAAATATGGAACTCCAGTTAACAGAACTAAAGCGGCCCTTCGGTCGGGCTGTCAAACTGCAGGCGAGCACTGCCACATGCCCACTGCAAGAAATAAGCCTTTACTTTAATCAGCATAACCTTCTGATTAAAACCCCACAGCTGTCCCCATTTTTTCCTTAAAGGTAAGTGGGAAGCACAATTGGAGCAGGATGTGAATGAACCAGTTTCGAAGGAGAATGGGTAGATAGGGCCAGAATTGCAGAAACAACCTTGAGAACGGGTTTGGGAGAGGAGGTCACATGAGAAGGGGAAGAGTAGGAAGAGCAGAAGAGGCAGGGAGGTATCCAGGTGTGGGTTCTCCAGCAGTGCTTGCAGCAGCCCTGGGCCAAAACGTAAGGGCAGTGGGGTCGTTGGGCCACTTTTTCTCTTCAAGGGCGTTTTTTTATCGTGGGAGATCTAAATTCGTTTTCAGCTAGAATGTTTCCTTTCACGTAGGAAGTGGCGCTTCAGGATGTTCGGAAAGAGGTCAGCTTCTGCCGTAAGGTGAAGCTGCCTATCATTGGAGTGGTGGAAAATATGAGCAGCTTCACGTGCCCAAAATGTAAGGTATCGTTACATCTCTTTTAAGCAACTCCCTCCCTAGAAGGGGGCTGCCGGTTCAGCTTCCCTGCTCTGGGCTGCAGCGGAAGAGGCCTCTCCGTGGCACAGACGTCCAGGTTCCTCCTTTCTGGTGCATCTCAGAGCCTGTGTGACAGTTTCCCCTTTTGCAGAAAGAGTCCCAAATATTCCCTCCCAGCACGGGGGGTGCAGAGATGATGTGCCACACCTTAAACGTGCCTCTCCTGGGGAAAGTGCCTCTCGACCCTCAAATAGGTAAGGTAACCTATTGGTGTGCTTTTGCTCAAATGCCCACCAGCTTTGGTGAAATTCAGAAGACTTGAATGTTTGTTCCGACTGGCTGCCAAAGAGAGCAGATTGGTGGCGAGAATCTCTGTTCCTCAAAGTGGATGAGGCATCCTGGGGGGAACTGGGGCGAGACGTTTGCATTTCTCTTTTTGGGCCATTTCACTGAATTTGCATCTTCCCTTTTCTCCTTTCCTCGAGCAGGAAAAAGTTGTGACAGAGGCCACTCTTTCTTAGCCGAAGCGCCACATTCTCCAGCCACACTGTCTTTCAGGAACATTATCCAAAGTGAGTTCAGCCTTTGGGGGCTTCCTCCAGGCACCTGAGGTCATCCTCTCTTTACATGGTTTTGGAGAACAAATCTCTGTGGCTCACGGAGACATTTTCAGCCACAGGCCACTCCTTTGAGTAATATTGGCCTCCCAGGCCATCCAAGAGCCACCTTGTGGCCTTCATGCCTCTGGCTGGAAGCCAGCCAGGGAGGGAGGCATCACAGATTCTGAGTCCTGTTCTTACTTTGGGTCTTTTTGCAGGAATCCAGGACTACTGTAACCAGAACTCCCCACAGGAAGAAGACATAATTTGAATAGCAGATAAATGTGGATCTTTTGTGCATATATCTATATAGGTGCACAAACATGTACATGCAAATAAATACCTTTGAATAATGCTTGCCAATCAGAGATGCTTTTCTGAGGAAAGCCTTTCTAAATTTTCCAAAACAGGCTGTGTTTGTTCCTAGAAGCAGATCTGCTTATCGTGATTTGATAAATTCCCTTAATTATCTTCACTGGTGAAATCAGCCACTAGAGACAAGTTCAGAGGTTGCTTTTATTGAGAAAAACATAAGTCTTTCTCTGTTTGAGGATTATTTAAAATCAGTTCCTTAGATTTTGGTTTAGTCTTATTCTTCAGGTGTTTTAGAAGGGTGGTGCTGACAGGATCCTGTTCACAAGTGATATGGTGTAGTGCCATATTAGCTCTTTTTAAGAATATAAATAAATATAACTCATTGTCTCTGTTGGTGTCTGTCTAGTTCTAAGCAGAGGGAATCGCTGTTTCATTTCCTCCTCTTGGATCAAGTGTTCTTGCAGAAAGCAGGGAGAAGGCAAAGACTGGGCAGAGGCCCTCCTCTCGTACCCCTTGTTGCTCCCCAGGGAGAGATTGGCAAAGAGGAGGACTGGTTGGTGCCCTCAGCATCCTCCATAGGTGAACGGGGGCAGAAAGAAATGTGTGATGGGCACACCCAGTCCCTGCTGGAGAGCCACCCACAAATACCGAAATGATGCATAACAGATTCTGGGCTGGGCCAAGCCTGCTGGAGGCCTCCGGCCAAGTTGCCAGGGAGCTGCTAAAGGCTCCGAGGAAACGCTGCCGAAGGAGTGGGAGGAGGAAGAGGCTTCCAGGCCGCCTCGCAAGCGGAGAAGCAACATTCCTCTTGGGGATCAGAGCCTGGAGCTCCGCATCAGCCTGCCACCGGCTCCAACAGAAGGAAATGCCAGAACAGCTTCCTAGGAATGGGCTGCAGCACTGGAAAGCGTCATGCGGGGTGTGGAGCAAAGAGGAAGCTGCTGCCAATTGTGCTGTGTTGGCCCTTCTGAAGCGAAATGCAGCCTGTCTCGTGTTTAGCGCAGAAACCGTCCCCCAGGGACTCCCCAGACATCCTTGTTCTAATGACTTTGGGTCCCCAGATGCTTCAGGGTGTTTTTTTTAAAGTCTTCTGATCGTCCCTGCCGGAGCAATAAAACAAAGCTGGTTGCCAAAGAGGTGGAAATCGAAACAAGCCAATGCCAGTTTGCAGATGCAGCAGATCCCCCGGAGTGAATTCAGACCTGCCTTGGTTACAGCTCCCCCTCCATTGCTAGGATTTATTGAGTGGTTCCCTCTGTTTAAAAAGCCACCTACATTTCCAGTCTTGCCCATTTATGCTTCACCCCCAAAGTCGGACAGGAGGTTCTCCCGCTCACCTTCTGGAAGATCTCCTGTGCAGGAAAGCGTGGGGTGACTTTGCGGATGGTTTGGGGGGCTCCCCCTAGTTTACAGTGGATATAGCCATAAAGGTTAGCCATCTGGAGACAGATGCCAGTTACCACCAGTGCCTGGAACACAAAGCAGCAGACTGATAGGCAGATTTCTAATGACTTGAAAGCTTCAGGAAACTGGGAAAGACCCCCGACGTGGTTTGGGACCTGGGAGAGCAGCCCTCGGCATAAATGGGGTGGCTGGTGGATGAGGATGGCTTCCAGAAAGGCAGGCTCTTACAGACTTAATTTTAAGATTGTGCAAAGCATCTTCGCAAGGATGTTTCGGGTTCCTGAGAACCGGGGGGGTCTTTTTAAATTTCTACCCTCGAAGGCTGCCAAGGAGAGCTTCAGGAAAGTTACTTGAGTAAGCAAATCTGCCAAAGCCACTCAGAAGAAGCTCAGGAGAGCCAGGTTCTTCCTGTCTCCTTACTCAGGAAATGCTTTGGGTCCCACCAAGGAGGCCCTCCACCACACAGGCCCCTGAGGCAAGCTTTACTCCACCTCCGCCTATTCACAAAGTATCTAGCAACAGTTATGAAACATCTAGGCAAAAGCTGCATTCTGAGGCCGCTTGGCACTGGCTAAGTCCCAGGGGGCCCTGCTGGGGGAGGGGGGGCTGCCAGCCCTTACCAGCCATTTCAACTTCAAAGAGAACAAGGTGCTGAAGAAGAAAAGGATCCAGATGACGGGACAGATGATCAGCCCGAGCCAGAAAATCCGGGCTTCGACCTCAGTGGGGGGGAGCACAGCAGAAGAGCCCTTAAAAGAAGAGAAAAGCAAATTATTTTAAGGTACAGGGTTGTGGGTGTTGCTCTCAGCTCAAACCTCTGCAAAGCAACATTCAACAGAAATGGGAACAGATACTGTCTCATATTAAGAAAGGAGATTCACTTCTTCATGCTAGGAAGCAGACTTCCTTAAAATGTTATATATTGATTGGGCTTATATGGTCCACAAGAATAAATAAAACAATTTATGAAGCTCTTTGAAATGTGGGCGCTGCACAGTGCACAAAGCTTTCAGACCCCCCCCCCCTTTTCAAGATCAGAAATTACAAATTCCCTCGTTCTCAGCCATCGTGATGTTAGCCGGAGGTTATGAGGATTGCGGTCTGACCTGTTGCTGCCCCCAGCCGGGAAAGGAGATGCTCGGGTCCACCCCGAGGCCTTTCTCTTGCAGTTCAAGTGGCTCCACTTCATAAATGGACCAAAAGGTTCACAGGGTGGAGAGAAAAAATACGGTTAAGGACTACCTTCTTTGCTTCGAATACCCAGTGGCTCTTCCCATCCTCGTCGATCTGATTCCACCATCGCAAACCAACCAGCAGCCTTCCGGTGACATTCTGATGGGGCAGATAAAAAACAATGTGTACTTTAGAGAGAGATTGCGTTGAACAAAGATGTGAGTTTGGGGAATTTCTTGAACTGCAGAAATGTGGGAGGCCCTTCCATCTCAGCTAAACCAGGTTGGGTGCAGGAGAACCAGCATCTCTCCATTTCCCTGTGCCATAATTTAGAGAAGCCCATCGTGACTCGCCCATCAGACTGCTTGGTCGAGGGCCGGCTGGTGATAAGGGAGCTGACGGCCTGGCATGCACTGGGTTGGAAAGCTATGGAAGAAGAAGCCTCCTATTTTTTTTTTTTTTGCATTTGCTGGAACTATGGCCTTTCAATTAATATCTTCGATGGCCTGATCCTGACTTAGGCTGCTGGTGATGCCCAAAGCACCGTCTTACACCTCCTCCCTTTTTATCTAGGAGAAGAAAGTGCCTTTTCCATAATTGGCACCTGTTAAACAACAAAGTCAATACTCAATAAAGCAAATAAAATGTTTGCTTCCTCAATACCCCTTTTACCTGCCTGCCAAGAAGGGCCCAGCAGAGCAAGGGTGACCCAGCAGGGCCTCTTGGGGGGAGGCCTACCTTCACAGACCAGAAGTCAAAGGAGAGGAGGAGGAGGATGATGAGGAAGCAGGCGATGAAGCTTTTGCTGAACCAGTCACAGAAGAGGTAGGTCATGATGGCGCTCACACGGAAGAAGAGGTGGAAAAAGGTGGCCAGCGGGTACCTGGGAAGGAACCCCCCAGAACTCTAGAAGTTGAAATCCACAAATCTTAGGGGTTGCCAATGTCGGGGGGCCCTGCTTTAAACATTTGGTTAACACAAGATTCCGCTGCTGCTCTGGGCTCCCTGGGTGAGGGCCAAGGCAGAGAGGTCTGGCTGGGCATTGGCGCACTGACTTCCCGGTGAAGTTCCATCTGCTGCAAGAGCGAGCCAGCACTGCAGGGTGTGCTTACATTAGTCAGTAAGAAGGAGAACAAAGGTGACTTGTTTACAGCCGGGCCAATTCCAAGGATGTCTGGGACCTCACGTGATGATCTAATATTTACCTACCTGGCAACAGTAGGCATGAGAACAGCAAGGCAAAATATTTTATTTGAATTTCAATAAAGAAGCCTCTTGGATAGTTCTGGATCCAAATAGCAAAGGTCATAATCTTTAATCAAGCAATTTTAAAAGCAAATCCATGACATTTAGACTACACTTAAATAATTACAGGAACGACCTTAAACTTGTGTGCCGCCCAATTCTCAGTGATTACGGGCAGCCAATTAATTTGGCAAGCGTGCTCAGTAAATGCCAGAAATACATACCAAAGACTTAGGTAGCTTCCATAAGAACAGCAGTGCCATGCAGTTACAAAATAAAGAATTCCAACAAGCTGTCTAGCAAATAAGCCCCAAATTCAGCTGAGCAGAAAAAAACAACCACAATTAGTGAAGCAGAAACTCAGAAACTTGTGTGCACATGCGTCGTGCATAAAAAACAGGTCTGTTTATGAAACCGACAGGAGCTGCAGAAGGCCATGGGGCACTGCTGGGAGAGGCACCCTGTGACCCCTCCTTACCTGACTTTTGCCTTCCTTAAGGCCAACTCCTCTTCATTCCCAAAGTCAAGGGACACGTCTTCCGTGTCATCTGCTAAGCTCTGAAAAAGATGAATTCTGCATGAGCATCGCATCCACACAAGCTCAGAAGGGCACCAGCGGCAAGGCGTAATGAATCCCTTGAAAGCCACTCCTGGAGACCCTGGAAGAACCAGACCTCTTTCTCTCCTCAAAGAGCAGAGCTCTGCTCCCTCCCCCCCTTTCTCCTGAACCCTGCATCGGAGGCCGGGCAAGGCTGAGCCCCTCCCGCTCTCCTCCTGCTCCCACCCTACCCGGTTCTAAATGTTTCCGTGGATTTTCCCGCCTGCTGTTGCTTCCTCTTTTCGTGCCAGGCCTCGCCCGTGCCAGCTGGCTGCCTACCTACGTGGAGGTGCCTCTTCCGGGTCTGGGAAAGCACTGAGCCTCTGTTGAGGGGTTGAGTCACTCCTCCTGTCTCCTAAAGCGGAGGGGCTCCCTCCCTCTGTTTTCCAGAAACACCACACACGCACATGCCCCAATGCTCAAGGCCTCCCTCCAGAAAATGGATTCTGTTCAAAATAAGCTGCTCCCACATCCGACTGCCACCTTGTCTGTTTTGCCCCGTTTCTGCACTCAGCGTTTCCCAGACCCGCTTTGCGCAGGGAATTCTCTCTCCCTGCTTTGTACACGGCCTCGTGCCAGCCCATAATACTCAGTTTTTCCTCCCCTTCGGCCCCTTCTCCCCCACCTGCTTCATCTTCTTGGCTCCGTCTCCTCCTCTTCCTCCTCTGGCCTCTGCGGATGTGAGCCGGACCCACCCAACATCCTGCCTCCTCCTGGCCGTCGCTATGGCGACTGGAGCAGGGATGCTGCTGCCCAGGCAGCCAGGGGCAGGTTGGCCCAGAGACCGCCTGGTTTTGGGCACCGGGCAGCTCCAAGGTGACGGCCGCTCTTTCAGACCCCCCAGTTTCGGGAGAGTGCCCCTGCCCACCCTCGACCTGTTTATGAGGTTTTCCACTTAACGTTCCTTTCGGCCCGCCAGGTGCTTTATCTACTGCAAAGCAGCCTGACTTCATGGCAGCCAAGGAGCTAATGCAACATTACCCAACTGAAATCCGGCCCAGAAGGCAAAGCTCAGCCTGAAAATCCGCAGCAGAAAACTCGGACGCGAGGGGGAAGGGGCTCCCGGTCCACCCCCCCCCCTCTCCAAGCTCTGTAAAGGAGGCAGAATGTTTGCACCTGGCGTGCATTTGCATAGCGGAGCAACCGGAATTTCCCCGCGTCGTTAGGAGACGCGCCCGCAGGTTCACCTTTCAGGAGATGCCTTTGCCGGCCAAGCGCTGGCCGACTGCCCCGGGCCCTCTGAGACAGAAGCGACCCGGGGAGATGCGGTGGCCGCCCCAGGAGCCTTCCGGCGGTGGTCGCAGGTGACCCCAGAGGGGGAGTCCGACCGGGAGTGAGGCTGCCGGCCGGAGAGCCCCAAGGAGAGCCAGGGACCGCGAGCCCCGTTTCCCCCTCCCTGCCCGGGGCGCCGTTGAGCTGCCCTGACTGCTTTGGATCGGGAGGGACCCCTGGAACATGGGGGTGTACCCCAAGCTTGAGCAACTGTGAGCCAAAGCTGGCCGAGGGGAAGCTATTTATCCCGGGCTAAAAACCCAGGCAGGCAGCCTCCGCGATGTCTCTCCCTCCCCCCCCCCGCCCTCCCTCTCCGGCCCAGCAGAAGCGATGTGAAAGTCCCCAGAAGAAGCGTCGCTGAGCTCCCATCAGCCTCGCCCCGGTTCAACCGTTTCCCCCCGCCGGGGGAAACGGCCCCCGAACTCCATGGGGTCTCTGCCCAGACACCCCCGCCTAGGAACGCGCTGCTGCAGGTCTGTAGTCTCTTGGGGGCAGATTTAAGGAGAGGGGGCAAAACACCCACCACTCTGCTGTTGGAGTGCACATCCAAGGAGGGACCAAAAACAGTTTGCAAAACGTTTCTGCAGATAAGTACATAAAATTAAAGGTGTAACTTCACAAGCTAGGCTCTGGGGCACAGCCCCTCTGAACAAAGTCCTCATCTGACTAATCTAGCAACGGTTTGGGTGAATTTCCCACTCTTGGGGGATTTTCCAAAACACTCCAAACACCCGCAATGTACAGTTTTGCTATTAACTGCAACCAAGCAAGTGTCCAAGCGGTCGATCGATTATTGCTAAGATCGATTTTTTAGAAGTAATAAAAATAGGCGAGACTGCATCTTTGGAAGATGCACTCATAGGTTCAGCGAAATGAGGAAATAGCAATGAGGATCCCCAAAATCTTTTTTTCACTTCATCTTTTTGGAACCCTGTTAAGATGAGTTTGCCATATAAATATCTGTATAAAGACAGGGAAGTGCAGCATAAATAATTCAGAGAAATCCTAGCGCTTCTGCTGCCAAAATGGATATTTTCAAGCAAATCTTACCAGAAGTTAGGGAGATTTTATCAACTGCTTCAGCCCCACAGGTTCAAGCTTTGCTGGACTCCATGCTGAGGGATGGAATTATATCAAAGGAATACTATCAGACGTTACTTTATGAAAAGGACGCTGATGATTTAGCAAGGAAGATCGCTCTGACCTTGCTCGGAAAACAGGCCAAGCATTCAGATTCCACCTGTCTCTCTGGCTTACAGCTTTCTGGCAATTCTAGAGAAAATGCTAAGAATGGAGCTGTCTCACTGAGGACTAGAAACTTGACTGGTAAGCTTAGTTAATATCATATGATTCTCTATGCACTGTATTTCTTAGTGTTTGTGGGAAGGAAATAGTTAATTAAGGTTAATCCAAACTCATTCTCTGAGGAATACCTTCTTCCTGGTCAGTTGGATAATTTCACTGATTTGCCTTACAAATAGATAAGTAGGTATTTAGACCTAACATTAAATTTAACTTAATTCAAAAATCAACACTAATTTCATTCTCAAGTAAGATAAATCCTATCTATCCATCTGATAAGTAGTATTTATCCTATTTGAGAATTAAATGGGGGGGGGGTTTTCCATCCATTTTGCCAACTGCCTTTTTGATCTATGTTTCTGTTGGGATCTAAAATTTAAATACTGTTGATTTTCAATGTAATATCATAAATAGGGCATTTTAAAATCTTGGAACCATAAAAAACATTAATTGGAGAAAGGAACCTACAGCCAAAGGTGCTGGACGACAATCCTGGTAGCCTCTCAGGATGATAGGAATTGCAGTCCAGAGCTCTAGCTAATTCCCTCATCCACCTCACCAGTCCTATTTCACTGACCTTCTGCTTGTCCTCCGGGGGGGGGGGCTGGACGGGACTTTTGGGCCGCACAGCAGTGGCCTGCGAGGTGGTCTGGGCCGACTTCTGGCTCCCAGCTCAGCCCTTGCCGCTTCCGGTCTTTTCTGTGCATTGATACCCGTGCAGCTGTGTTGGTGCCAGCGCTCACACTGGCCCCCTGGGGGAGGCAAAAGTGCCCTGGGTGGAGGCACCGAGGATGGGAGGAGCACAAAGAGGTAAGTGGTGGATCTGATGGAACCTTCAGCCAGAGAGAGAGGAGAAAATGAAACAAGCACACCACTTTCACTTCTGATCCGGTGTGTCAGAAAGCAAGTGAGGAGCACATAGGGAGGAGCAGGCTGCCTTCCACATGAGGAGCCCGAAATAGTGTGCGTGGCCACCTGGACGGTAGGGATCCGGGCCCTGCAGGGAGGATGGTGGAGCAGAGTAGAAACCAGGCTGTTAGCCAGGCAAGCACCTGTTTTCAGGGAACGTCTGTTGGGATCAGGGAAGGGAGTTGCCAACCTTGGAAGCTCCCTATTGATTAGTTTTGAAACAGAATCAGAGGGGAATTCCTCCTCACGCCCGTGTCAGGGTTTTCCCACCCTTTGTGGGCAGCCACCTGCAGCAAGACAACGGACCGGCAGCCTGGCCACTTTGCCCAGAGGGATCCAGGATGGCTCAAAATCCAGAGCTCACCACCCCAGCCTTTTTGCAGAAAGGACAGCTTGAATCTTTCCTGCAAGGTTGTTTTTTTAATCTCTCTCACCCTGAGAATCTCATTTCTCTGCTTCTGACTTCCTGATCCTCTGCTGGTCCACACGTCTCCTTCACCACCCAGAGTGTGAGAAAGGGGCTGTGGCAAGACCCCCTCCCCCCGCTTGTTAATCGATGCTGGCAAGCTTAGTTGCTGGTGTTGCTTGTGCGGGAAGAAAATTAGTGACTCTGGAGAGGTAAACAGGCAAGCTGGCCCTGCCCTCAGATTCTCAGGGAGGAGGGCAGAAGGGGGCAGCCCCCTCCCCTGTTAAATGCAGAGTATTGCAGGGTGGGGTCCTGCAGCTCTGGCCTCCGGTTGAGTCCCTGTTCTGTGTGTGCAGAAAAGAAGGTGCGGCGAGACGGAATTTTTTTAAAGGAAGGCAATTGGGAAGACGTGATCCACTTTTCAGTTCAGGTATTCAGGGTGGACCAAGGCTCGGCTGGTGCAGCTGACCAGGAGCCAAACCCTTTTGACTGTGGCAAGCTTGGCCAGACTCAGCCTGAGGGTTTGAAAGAAGCTCCAGGCTGCCCACCGGCCTCTCCTCCTCCTGTGCCTGTCCAGAAGAGAAGGGGTTGACCTCCTGTTCTTCACCCCATCCTCGTGTCAAGTGCCAGAGACCGCAACATTCCAACTGCAGTCACAAATCCATCAGTGCAACAGGGGAACTTTTGAATGCTGCAAGTGACACAGCTCTCCTTTTTTTTGGGGGGGAGACAGGTCTTCCAAGCAGATGAGATGTTTTCTTGCCCTGTTTGAGCTAAGCTGGAGTCCCCCCCTCCATGAATATTTATAGAAGGCAGACGATCTGAGCCCCACTTTCTGTTCTCCTTTTGTGAAGGCAGCTGTGAAATCTCCTTTGAACCCTTCAGGGTAAAAAAAAAAAGGAGTGTAGAAAACTTGCTGGGGCTGCATTTTGCAGGTCAGTCACATGTTTTTAACCTGTGGGTCCCTAAACTGCTGCTTTGATCCCAGCCAGATTGTAAACTGTACTATAGCTTAGTGCTTCACTGGGAAGCCAGCTATCTAATTGTGGTTTATTCAGTAAACCCCAATAAAGCAAAGTCTGGATCAGCCAGAGACCTATGCCCTGGTTCCCTTTTTGCGCAAAAATCCCCAAAAATGTCACTTTCCTTCAGAGCATCTTCTCTCCCGATCTTTGTAAAGCAAATCCAGACATAAACGTTAGGAAGAGAAAACAGGCATTTAATTATTTCTCCCCAAAGCAGGTGATGGGATGTCCCCAGAGCAGCCCCCCCACCTTAAAGCAGCCCAAGGCAGGAGACTGACAGTCCGTTATTTCACCTTTTTAAGAGCTTCATCCATGTTTTTCTTCCTGCTATTTCTGCATCAGATGATGTGAGCCCTGAAGGGATCCCACCAGAGACCCACTGCCTGCAGAGCGAAACCCACCCGGCATTGATGGAAGAGATGGCTGAAGCACCTGCAGGTGCTTGACCCTAGCTTAAGTGGAGCCTCCTTCTTTCTTTTCCTCTCCTTTCCTTTCCTGTCCTGTCCATTCCCTTTCCTTCTCCTCCTTCCCCTTCCCCTTCCCCTTCTCGGTCTCTTGCTTATTTCATGGAGCTGGGTTCCAGGCAGCCCTCCCCCACCTGGCTGAGTTGTGACTCAGAATTCCCAGGGGGTGTAGCCCTTGGATGGGCACAGGGGAAAAGAGGAGAGCTGGAATAGCCCACCTCCTGGTTTAACTCCCAGATCTGACATCTCCTGGTGGTCTCCCTTCCCAGCAGATTCTCCCCATGGCGGCCAGCCTCTCACACTCCCTCCATCATTCAGATGCTTGGCTTCCTGGGAGGGCAGTCTGTCTCTACGGAGGGCAGGGCGCTCTAAAGGGGGAGGCCAGCCTCTGTGGGGCAGACCTCGAGAGAAGGGCTCCCTTTGGCTCACAAATGGTGTCTTCTCTCCCCCCCCCAAGTTCAAGCTTCTGAGGTGACCAGTGAGGATCAAGACAACCCCGAGGTGTTTTACACGGTGGAGAGGGACGAGAGCGGAGAAGTCGTCTGCCTCTGCTCTGATATGGGGGAGGCCTATGACAAAATCGGTGGGTCCCCTCTTGAGGGTCAGCGGCCCGAGGGCACAGGCGGAGAAGCCCATCCGAGCAGACGCGGTGCCCTCGTCTGTGTCACAGCCCAGGACCCGAGAAGGCGGGGCGGGGGCTGGCAGGGGCAATCCTGGAGGGGCTGGAGCACAAAGGCCTTTGGGAGGAGCAGGTGCCCGTCCTTTGCTCTGCGTGGCCAGTCAGGGCAGCAACCCCACCAGACCCAGGAGCCCAACTGCCCAAAGGGGCCCCCTGGGATGCCCAGCTGAGGACATTGGAGTGCCGGCAGGGCAGAAGAGCACCTCAGACCCCCCTTCCATGGCAGCAAAGAGCCCCTCCCCTCCTGTAACCGAATTTAAGGGGTGGGCACAATGTCCTCTCTTTGATGGGGGGGGGTTGCACTTTGGAAAGGGTGTGTGGTGCCTGACGTTTCATGCCATGTCCCCCCCCCCATCTTTAGCTGCCCTGGCTGAATATTTGCTGAAAGACCAGCAAGACACCCCAGTGGAGGAGCCTTTTGGTGAGCTTCCCTGCTTTGCTTCCAGGGGCCACGTTCAGGCCCCCCAGGAGGGGTCTGGCCTTCCCCTGGTCAGGATGGGGCCTATTGGGGGAGCAGAAAAGTGGTGCTCAGCTCCACCTGAGCAGGAGAGCCACTCTGGGCAAAGAGCCCCATGCCCATCTGGCTCTTCCTTCCCTCCTGTCCTTCATGAGCACTGGCTCCTTGGGCTTTGGTTAATCCTGGGATGTCTGAGCCTGGCATCGCAGCCCCCCTGCCCTCCCTCTTGCACTGAAATCATGCCCCCCCCCTTGTCATTCCCCCCCCCATGCTAATAGCCCTCTCTTACTTTCTCTTCCTCACCAGACAGCCTCTTTTGGCAGGTGGGGGCTGCGGAAGGGCCCGGGGGCTGCGCAGAGGCCAAAATCCAGGGTAGGTGAGGGAGCCGGAAGCAGGAGGGCTTCCGGGGGCAGCTCAGGGGGGCCTGACCCAGTCCAGCTCTCCAGAAGTTCCAGGGACGAGGTTAAGAGGGAGGCGGATTCCAGTTCAGGAAATGACAGATCCTCCCCTCCTGGAGCCGGGTCGAGTGGGGCTGCCGAGACCCTTGTGAAGGGCCCGAGGCAATGAGGCCCACCCACCCGAAGAAGGGCATCGGCATTCACCTGGCGTTTCTGCCCCTGCAGGCCCTTCCCCGGACGCGCCCGAAGCCAAGCGCCAGAGGCTGGGTGAGTGGACTGTTCCCTCAGGGGCAGCTTCTCTTTTAGTAACTGGGATGTGCAGAGATCGGGGCCCATCCCCAAGCCCCTTCCCCTCTTGGAAGGGCCCCCACAAAGGCCCCCACCTCACCCTGTTCCCTTTCCCTCCTGGTCTTCTCCCCTCTCCTGCCGGGGCTTTCCCGGATGCCCTCGCTAGTCCTGCCTTCGCCCTCCAAGCGTTCCCAGCAAGATGGCAAGCCATCTGGGGTTGCAAAAGAGCCCTTCCCCAAGCCTGAAGCTACAACTCCCATCATCCCTGGCCACTGGCTTGGATGTCCTGCGCATCTGAAGGCATCAGGGAAATGAAACATGAAACTTCAAATGTTTGGCGCTGCCGAGTGGAGGAGGGGTCTCTGGGGGCTTCCCCCTTCCTTCCCTGCTCCACCTTCTGGCCAGCTGGGTGCAAAACCCCACCTGGCTCTCCCTGGGCTGCTGGAGTCCGGGCCTCTGCCTGGGGGAGGGAAGGAGGGAGGGGACGGAGCCCACCTTGCCTGGCTCTGGAGAAGGCTGGGCAACCTTCCTTTTCTTTGACAGCTCACCCACCGGCTCTGTGCATTGTGAGCGGGGACCCCCTCACCATCGCCCTGAACCCCGGCCAGGATGGCAGCGACTCTCCACCTGACTTCCACGTGCAAATTTTGGTGGCCACCATGGGCCCTGCCGGGGGATCTCCAGAAGTCTTTGGTACACGAAAGCCCCTCCAGAGATCCTGGCTCTGGACTGGCTCTGCCAGGATCCCCGGGTGACTCTGGCTGGGCCTCAGCTCCTCCTTTGTCTGCTGGAAGGAGGGAGGGGTGCAAGCCAACCTCCTCCTCTCCCTCTTCCAGGGTCCTCTGCAAATCGGGAGCTGTGGTGCATCCCAGGCCACAGGAGCAACATCCAGATGATCTTCGCCTTTGAAAATGCCCAGCAACCCTGCTTGCCCCCGGACACCCCAACTTCCCCAGGTGACCTCCTCATTCGGCCTCCCCTCCAGCTGACCCCAAGAGAGCTGGCTCTCAGGACCTCCGCAGCACCTGGCAAGGCCCAAAACTGAAGTCATCAGAGCAGCCTGTCCTGGAGAAAGCTGTTCCCAGGAGTAGCAGCGCTTGTAGAGGCCAGAGTGGATACACTTCAGAGTGGTCTTGATGGAGGTCCTTGCTCCCCAATCCGTTTTCTCCAGGGGGGTGCCACTTCTGTATTTATAGGTGAAGGGTGTGGGATTCCCAAGGCCTTGGTGAGCACCAGGTGCCCCCTTTTGTGCCAGTCCTGAGTCCGCCAATAGATTGAAGCATCACTGAAAAAACTATGAAGGAACTTGGTGGGATCACCTAAGCTAGATTTATGAGTCACAGTGCAGACGAATCTATTTCCAGCCTGGGGACTCTGGGCCACTCCTCCCCTAGCCCCATTTACCACCCAGAGTTGTTGTGGGTGCTATGAAGGCCACCTTCAGCTCTTTTCCATGGAGGAAATCCCTTGAACTAAACCGTGGTTTGTTGAACAAGCCCAGGCGTCCTGGTCCTCCTAAGTCTTGACCAAATTCCTCCGGCTGGGCCTGCCCATTCTGGCCTGGAAAGGGGTTGCTTGCTCAGCCGAGGGGCTGCCCTACCCTGGGGCCCTTTCCTGATCTCAGCCCAGCTCCCTTGCAGGGATATCTTGGGGGTCACAAGAGGGGGAGACCTTTGAAGCAAAGACAGGACTCTGGAATCTCGAAATCCTTAAAGGAGCCGACTATCTTCCCTGTCCACTGGATGGGTCTTGATCATCTCCCTGTCCTCCTTTCCTAGAGTTGGCCAGGGCTTTCTGCAAACGCCTGAAAGACCATTTTGGCAGAGAATGCCACCCGGCACCTGGGCAGCCCCTGGGACATCTTTATCTCGAGAGGGACTTGTTGCAGCATCACCCGGATGGCAGGAGCGGGAGGAGCGCGGATCTGAGGCGCTGCCACCTAGGAGAGAAGTGGGAGGCTTCCGTGGAGAGAAGCAAGTTGTTCCAGGTGACCAGGAGAAATGACCTGGACAGCAGAGTTATCGTGGTCTTGGGGAAGGCGGGCACGGGGAAAAGTCTCCTGGTCCAGAAGATCTGCCTGGACTGGGCCAATGGCCAGATGGCCCAGTTTGACTTTGTTTTTTGGTTCGACTGCCGGAGGCTGAGCCTGCTCCACAGGACCTATCGTGACTTCAAGTCCCTGCTCTCGGACTCCCTGGGGGGCTCCTGGGAGGGCCTCGATGAAGTCTATGAGAGCCTGTTGCAGAACCCAGAGAGGGTCCTCCTCCTCTTTGATGGCGTGGGAGACCTGAGGGGTCCCGGGGGCTTCCCATCTACTTCAGGGAGCCTGTCCTGCAGGGCAGCCCCTGGCCTGGGCACCATCCTGGCCTCCCTCTTCCAAAAGAAGCTGCTCAACGGCTGCACTTTCTTATTGACGGGACGGCCCAAAGAACGGCTCCCCCAGTATTTCCCTCGCGTGGACACGGTCCTGGAGCTGGTGGGCTTCTCCATGGAGCAGGCCTCTCTCTACGTCGCTCGCTCTTTGGAGGGCTCTTCCCACTGGGAGCAGAAGGTGAACCTGATCAAGGCCTCTCCTTTCCTGTTCGGCCACTGTTGCAATCCTGGCCTCTGCAGGGTCATTTGCCAGGCTGTGTTTGAAGCAGGAGGTCAAGAGCTGCCCTCCACACTCACCGGCCTCTTCGTCACCTACCTTCTCCAGAGGTTGGCACGTTCCACGGCAAACGACACGGCCTCGAGATACCAGGGCATCGCTGCCTTGGCTGAGGTCTCTTGGTCTCTTGGGCAGCGTTGCCAAAAGGCCCTCTCGAGCGAGCAGTTCCCTTCCGCAGGCGTAAAGGAGTTTGCTCTGAAAACCGGGCTCCTGGTGGAGGAGGGGGATGTGTATGTGTTCCCCAACTTTGGGGTCCAGGATTTCCTGATGGCTCTGCATCTGACTCTCGCTAAAGAGATCAAGGGCAAAAAACTCACCAAATACGTTGGTTTGGGGACCAAGTTCAGGAAATTTCTCTCTTCGTGGGGCCTGGTGCCCCGTTTCCTGTCTGGGTTACTGTTCTTAAAGGATGGCCTTGGCAGTTCCCTCCTTTCTGGTAAGGAAGGTGAGTTAGATACAGAGAAGATGATCACCAAGAAGCAGAGAAGTCTCTCGCGATTCATCAGGAAACTTTCCATTAGGGATTTCAGTCCAGATAAATTGTTGGAGCTGCTCCATTGTGTCCATGAAACAGAAGATCAATACCTTTTGAACCATCTGAGCCTGGAGCTCAGCCCAGACCTCTCTTTCTTGGGCTTTTCCCTCACCCCACTTGATGTCAGTGCCCTGCACTCTCTCTTGAGGAGATCCTCCAAGAGGTTCTCCTTAGACCTGAGGGGGAGTGGCATTCACCTGGATGGACTCAGGAAGCTGGTCGACCTGAAGAACGTCACCCAGTTCAGGTTGGTTGAAGTTTTTGCATCTGGGTGAGGGTCACTAGGTTTGGGGACCAGATGTTAGGAGTAAAGAGCCAAAGAGCAGCGGACCTAGTGAGTGAGTAGATAGGGCCAGTCTTCGGGGGGGGAGGGGCTGAAAGTACATCTTGAACGCTTCCAAAAACTTCCAGTGGGATTTATTCTTAAATTGAAGGCATTTCGGTTGACCCCCCCAATGACTTCAGTGGGCACTTAATAATTATCTTTGGAACACGGTATCTTCACCTGAAGGTGAAGGTAAGGCTGGAAGGGGACAGATCCAGGGTCTGGGAAGGTGTTGTCAGTATCTAGGAAGCAGCTTCCAGCCAAGATCTGACCTTGGTTCCTCTTAGCGTTGCAGTGTGTCCAACAAAGCCAGAACCAAACCCAAGATCTTCCCGAGGGAAAGGCAGAATCAGAACCAGAACCGTCCTGAACCCAGGAGGAGCTGGGGATGCTGCTGCCTGACTCTGATGCAGCAGAAGGGCCGGCCTCTTCCAGCGTGGGAGAGACAGCTGGAGACTCCCCCAGTTTCCTCAGGGACTCTTTTTGCAGGGTGTCCCTCGGTGAAGCCGTGGCGCTCTGGAAGCACCTGTGGGACAGCCAGGAGAGGGAAGCCCTGCAGGCAGCCATGGGGAAGTTCCTGGTGGTGCCCTTCAGGGCGGAGACGATGGCGGACGTGGACTCTCTCCTGGGCCTGGTGCAGCTGCACAGAGAAATGGCGGAAGGGTAAGGCTCCCCGCTCAGCTGGGCTGGGGTCGTGTGGGGAGAGAGCTCGGCACATGGGTCCGCCACGGGCATCCCCAAAGGCTAGCTGGAGGGAAGGTCTCCGGGTTAGTGGGATGGGGAATCCCAGTCCCCCTCTAGGCCTGCCTTTGGGGTCAGGGATTTAGGGGTGGGAGATGGAGATGCGGTGCTCCTTAGCCGCATTGACCGTCTTTGCCCCCAACCCCTTTTGGTTTAGCAGGGAAGACTCTGCCGGTTCCAGCAGCCGTCTTATTCCAGCCATTGCTGGGTTCCTGCAGCTAGAATTCAGGTAAGTTTATCTATGATATTTTAAGAGCAGAATGCAGCAGCAGCAGGCAACTCTTGAAAGCAGAACCTCCTTGTGCTCAGGTAGTCTGCCTCAGAACACCCATGAATGTCCTCATGGGCTGCCAGTCAAGAGCCTCAGGGAGGTTGATGACTTCTAGGCCAAACAAAGGACAAGGGAAGGGCACGTTTGGCAGGAACGCAGGAGGGCCCTTGGGTCAGGAGTCCAGCACCCACTTCCCCCCCCCCCATTTGCCTTGCAGCCTCGGGCCCAGCTGCGGCTTGGAGGGTTTCCAAAAGTTGGTGGAGTCTTTGGTTGCCTTTTCTGCTCTTCAGCACTTGGAGTAAGTGAGCTGAAGGGCCCCGCTTGGCCACTTCCATCTGGGGAGTGTCTTTGAGCGGAGGGGGGCGAGGATGGGGGGGGCTCAGTCAGATGCCAGGCTTAGGCACCAAGGTCTGAGACCACGGGGGGGGGGGGGGCACAGGAAGGGGGAGCCACGGTGGCAGGTTGCCCCTGCTGGGTCTCCAGGATGCGTTGACCTGGCGAGGAAGAGCTTCCTGGAAGGAATCTGGAATGGGGCTTCCGCGATGTTCCTAGTCCTGCTGGCCCCCTCCACACACCCCGCCATCTGGCCACGTGGAGGGGGTCCTCAGAAGGAGCATGGGAAGAAAAGCAAAGTCTTTTGCAGAGCCCCTCTCCTTTTCCTGCACCCCTCCTTTGCCCTCTTGGTCCCCTGGCCTCCCTGCCCCCCCCAACTGCCCCCAGATTAAGCAGAATTTGCAGCCGTTCTGGCCTGACTCTTCTCCAGCTTGGATTCCCCTGATGAAAACGAAATCGGAGACGAAGGGGTGAGATCCCTCAGCCGTGTCCTTCCTCGCTTGGCGTCTCTGGAAACGTTGAAGTAAGTGTATTGTTCTGCACTTCTTGGTTGCAGCAAGCCCCCCCTTTCTGTGTGTGCGTGTTTGTGTATGTGTGTGTGTGTGAGCGCGCATAAACAAATGAAACATGCTGGAGCGTGTAATGGTTACAAAGCACCTAACCGTCAATTCTTGGGACAGATTATAAACAGAATTTAAAAAAAGCAGAAAACAGTAAAAGAATAATATTTATTTAGGAAGAGGCTGGCCTGTGTGGTGGACCCTCTCACAGCAGCCTTACTTAACGGGACATTCCAGAGAGGGAGGGAAAGGACCCCTCCCCCATCTGAAACATCCTGATTTAACCATATTTTGCTCCTAGCTTGTCCCGGAACAAAATCACTGACCTGGGTGCACAGCTGTTGGCCGGAGCCCTGCCCTCCCTGCGTTTGCTGAAGACCCTCAGGTGAGGCCTGGTCCCCTCTGGGTCAGCCAATGCCAGACAGGGATGGTGACCCCCAGCAGCCAGGACCCCCCACTGGAGCCCCCAGGAGCAGATCAGAAAGCCGGCTGGCCTCACTCTCCACCTGCCAAAGGGAGACTGGGGAAGGGTCCTCCCATGTCCCCTCTGGGGCTGGGCCTCCCAAATGGCCCTCAACAGATTTTGGGGGGGGGAACGTGGCTCCTGGCAGGGGGGGGGCTGGATCGGCTTCTCAGCCTCTCCGTTGGTTTGGCTCCCGCAGCTTGTACGAAAACAACATTGGAGATGCTGGTGCAGAGCGCGTGGCAGAGGTGCTGCCCCAGATGCGCACGTTGCGGGTGCTGGAGTGAGTGTGCCACAGTGTGTGTCTGGGAGGGGGAGGAGGTTTCATTCCCAGGAGTCAAAGGAGCCTTTCGTAGAGGACTGGCACCCCTCAGTCTTGATGCAGGCACCCTTTAGCTACTGTACAGCCACCCCGGCTGCTTGGACGTTCGATGGGGTGGGAAATTCAGGCAGAGAAGAGGAACTCTGCCCCAACAGCTGAGGGGCTCAGCCACGTCCCTGCTCTGCCCCACCAGGTTCTTGGGGAGTCCTTCCCCCCAAATACAGGGAGGGCTCATAGAACCAGATGGGTGCCCAGAGACCCACCCATGCTCAGCCCTTGGGCCCCGTGCCATTTTGCCAACCTTTCTGGCAAAGGGGGTGCCTGTAATTCCGCCTGTGCCACCTTTGCCCCTGCCTCCCCCAGCCTGCACTGCAACCAGATTTCTGCTGCCGGAGCCCGGTGTCTGACGGAGCGCTTGAGGAGATGCCCCCGCATTCAGAGCTTGGCGTAAGTTTGGGCTTCTTCGTGATCCTGGGGTGCCCCAAACCCCACTTTGAACTGCACCGGATTCAATGGGTGCAGCTTTGGGAGAGGTTATGGGCAGGACAATCGGGGGTGTCTGCAAGGTCCCCAAATTCCTGGCCAGCTGCAGAGTGGGAAACCCCCCACACACACACAGTCACCCTGCTCTCAGTGACAGCAGCTGGTGGCCCTTTTTTTCTAGAGAGACCCACTTATTCCAGTCACTTTTAGTTTCTTGCTTTTAAAAAACCTTTCCAGCTTGTGGAACCCAACAATTCCTCACGGAGTTCTGGATCACCTGCAGCAGCTGGATTCTCGGATCAGAAGATTTTAGAGGCAGCCACTAACCAGTTGCTTCAGATTCTGCTGTGGTGGGTACCTTCAGGGGGCCTGTAGGAGCTTCTGTGGTTCTACATTCGGCCTATTAAATGCTCCTCGCTGTGGAATAGATGCTGAATTACAGTCTTCCCATTTCAAGTTCTCAAAATGGGAGGGGATGCTCTGTTGGCTCCCCCTTGCTCACAAATCATAAAAGGCTATTAATCACCGTGAGCACTTTGAACCCCAAGATATCCACACCCTTTCATTTGACATTCTGATGCTAAGTTAAAGCTGGATGATCCGTAAAGGCTGCTTCTTTTTCTCCATCAACTTGATTACTGGATCCCCTTTCTGAAAGAACCCTCTCCAGGGCAGTTGGATTTTGGGTCCCAAATGTTGTGATGTGGGTGAAGGCAAGGGAAATGTTTGTGTCTGCACATAGGTAGATGTGTCAAAAATTATTTGACTTAGCGGAAGCATCCTTGGAGAATAAGCAACTGTCTTTTCTAAAGGAAAAACAATGCTGGTGCTTTCTAAATAAACTCAGGTCTCTTTGAGAGCTGGTATCTTTCTGGAGTATTTCTGCATGAAGTCAAAATCAGCCCCTCGCAATTTGCTAAAAACTTTGGAGAAATAATGTAATCCTGGCCCAAGGGTCATTTTAAGCTCTAGCAACTGTGGAAGGTGCACCACATGTGTTGGTTCTGTCTGAGCCTAGAAGCCTTTTTTGTAATGATTGGACCACACAGCCTCTTCTGAGTTAACTCTAATGTGCAGTTTTCATATCTCTGAGAAACTGTCAATAAATCTGTTTCTAGAAGTGTCTCACATGGGTTTATTTTTTTGAAAATGGGAATATTGGTGAAGTCTTGGATTAAAAATTCAGGGGCTAAGTTAGCAGTTTTGAATTGATTTCCTAGAATGCATCCTTCCCTTTAGGAACAGACTGGCAGAAACCGAGGAAGGATGGCAGCTTTGCCAAGGATCCCATAAAGGAGGTCAGACAAAGCAAAAGGGAGAAAGTTATGGGCGGTTGGGTCCAGAAGGAACTTTGTGAGACAGCAAAGAAGAGGATCTGTCTCTTGAGCATCTGCTGGGCAGCTTTGCCCTTCTGCTAGGGCCACTGGAACCTTGACCCCCACTTTTAAGATGCAAAGGCCCCAAGAAAGCTGTCCAGCTGCAGCCTTTGCCGTGAAATCACCCCAGCAGCCACCCTGGTGCCCCAGCAATAATACGCAAAGCAAATTGTAGCTCACCTGCATACATCTGTATTTGCGAGAGGTCTGGTTATCAAGATATTGCTTTTTTTTTACATTTTCTGCTTTACATAACAATGCATTTGAACATTTTCCAAAATAACTTGCCATAACAGTGACAAGGCTCTTCTTTCCTTTCTCCAAGTTATAAAAATACTTACAAAAGCAATTCTTCTCTGTAACTGTGTGACAGAAACATCCCTGCAATTCTTTTTTCTTAAATTATTACTCTTTAAAAAGCAGTGGATTTTGCAAAGGTTCAGGGGATCCAAAAAAAAAATAAAAAAATAAAATTTAAGAAGGGCGACCTGATCATTCACAGCAAATTAAGATTGCCAGTTGGAGACTTCCAGCATTTCCACCCTTTGAAAGAGCAGAACCTGGAGCCTTTGTGGCTAATAACACTTAAGGACTTCTGTGCAAATTGATTGCTTCGTCGTATTTCCATACCTGTCTCTCCCTGCAGCTGGAAACCTAGCATGTCAGATAACAAGCTTCATTAATGTCATATAACCGTTTCACATGTTAGAAAACATTTAATAGTAGTGAAGCTCTCACAGATATGGATAGTACTGATAATTGAGGGCTATATTCTACCACCCTATGGGGAAAATGTGATTGGGGGATCTTCTGCACAGTAATGCAAGGCCAAGTTTCAACTGCCTAGCAGTTGTGTGTTCAGGAACATGCGCTGTTGTAAGCAACCTCAGGCTTTCAGAGTTTATTCCCCCAACCCCCTTAAAACCTGATGACCCCATCATAGCCACTGTTTGCCTTGTCTAAGAATCCAGGTTAGCTCCACACATACCTTTACCTCTTCAAAAACAAGAGAACCAATTCTTGTTCCTTGACGTTTGCAAACGAGGAGTAAATCCCTTCCTTCAGTGTAAGAAACTAGAATCTCCTTGGGTTTTAGATAGCCAAAACCCTTCCAGATATTGTGTTCAATGAATTCCTGCAGAAATTTAGGATCATGGCAAACCCGTCAAGAGTTCCAATAACGGGCAGGTCCCATTCTCAGTCCAGCTGCCCTGGGGGGACCCAGAGTGCCTCAGAATCCATGGGTTCCTTTCTGGAATCGTTTTCCTTTCTTTCCTCCTGCAGCAAGCCTGTAGAAATGTGAATTAAAGCCAAAGGTTAAAGGGTGAGCCTGTGTTCCTGCAGGAAAGATGGACAGAATGCCTACGGTAGGTAGGGGCTGCAGAGATGCTTTGTGCCCCGGAGGAACTGCCCCACGGGGCAGAAAGGCCAGCAACCCAGTTAGTTCCCGGGAGCAGATCCAGGAGCGTTTTCTTGGGGGTGGGGATGTTCTCCTCTGGGAATCCCACGTGCCCATCTTCTCTGGCCTTCCCTGCCTCCCGGTGTCCTGGGCTGGCTTGGAATGATGGGAGCTGTAGTCCTCACCCGTTGGAGGGCAGGCGCCTTGCTCAAGGGCAGCCAAGGCTGTGCCGCCACCCCTCGGGGCTCCCCCTCCTTCGCAGCCGTACCTCCGCCGGCCAAGGGCTGCCCGCCGGCTTCCTCCCCCGGCCCAGCAGCCCCTCCGGCGGCCGGCTCTAGTCCCAGGCGGCGTCGAGCGGCTCGCTCTCGCTGTCCGGCCGGTACAGGCCGAGCGCCGGGTCGGAGAGGAGCCCGAGGTCCACCAGCGCCTGCTCCATGTCGTCGGGCAGGAAGACGATGCCCACGTTGAGGGCCAGGTACTCCAGCAGAAAGGCGTAGTACAGGATCAGCAGATTGACCAGGAAGAGGCCGGCGGAAAACATCGGGGGCGGCGGGGCGCCTGGCGCCAGCCCAGGAGCTTGGGGCAGGGCGGGCTGGCCACCCGCGGTCCGGCACAAGCGGAGCAGCCCCGCCGGCCGGGCAGTCCCGCAGAGAGGCCGCCGGCACAAGGGACCCGCCCTGCCGCAGCGCCGCCCCGCACGCCCCCTGCTCTCCGGCCCGCCTCCGGGCGCCGCGGGGAAGCCGGCCCTGGCCGGGGGGACCGTCCGGCACCCGGGCTCTCCTCCCCCCGCGGGGCTCAGCCGGACGGCGACGCGCTTTGCGGGAGGGGCGCCTCTGCGCGGCCACCTACGCCCCGCCGGGCGCCTCTTCCCCGCCCATGCCGAGCACGGGAAGCCGCAAAGCTGCCCCGGCTCGGACGGGCGCCGGTAGGGGCTCCGGGTGCCGGGCGGGTGTGGCGGAAAGGACGGGCCCGGCCGGGCCGCTGGAGCCCTCGAGGGATCAGTCCGAGCGTCCCCGGGGACTGAGCGCCCTGCCGGCCCGCCACCCGTGCATCGCGCCCGCCGGAGCCCGCGCAGTCTGCAGCGCGCGCCGCCCGGCAGCCAGGGGGTTAACAGTGACGCCGGTGCCTCATTAGCATGCTCGTCCCGCCCCCCCTTGGGTCACAAACGCTCCCTCGCCTTCCGGGATGCCCGCGCGCGAGGGCCGCCGGGACGGGGAGTTTGCGGCCGGTCCGCCCGGCGTCAGGCGTCGGGGCAGGTGCGGGCGCGTAGGACTGCACTTCCCGGCGTTCCCCGCGCCTGCGCGGTGAGCGAGAGGACGACGGCGGGGGCGTCCGGCTGGTTTGAGAGGCTGAGGGGAGGATGGCGGCGGCGCCCGCCGAGGACGAGGCGACCGAAGGGGAGCAGGGGCGGCAGCAGCAGCAGCGGCGGCGGCGGCGGCGGCGGCCGTAGGAGCGGCGGCGCGCCTGCCGGGCCCGCGCACGATGTTCGGGCGGTCGCGCAGCTGGGGCGGCGGCGGCGGGAAGGCCTCGCGCAACATCCACTCGCTCGAGCACCTCAAGTGAGTCCCGGCCGCGGAGAGGCCGCTGCCCCCCCGGCCCCTCTGCGCGGGGGGAGCCCCTTCCAGGCCCGCGGGACCCCCGCGCCCTTCGCCCGCAGGCGGCCCCGCCCCCTCCGCTCCCGGAGGCGGCCCGAGGGGGCCTTGCGGGGTAGAAACGGGGCGTCGCGCGGAGCCCCTCGGCGGAAGCCGCCCTCGGCCTGCCCGGCTGCTTTGGCCGCCGCTTCCCGGGCGCCCCTTCCGGGTCGGGTGGCCGCCCCCCCGCGCACGCCGGGCCTGACGGAGAGGCCGCTTCTGAAGCCGGGTTGACGACCTGGGCCGCTTCAGGATGGGTGGACTACAACTCCCAGCACTTCCTGGGCGGCGGTGGGAATCCTGGGAAGAAAAAACCGCTCAGAAACGGGGGGGCGTTGAAGCGCCCGGCCCGGAGGCCTCCCTCTCGCAGAAGGCCCGGCGGGCTCCGCTTGGATGCAAGAGGAGCCGCTGGACTGTGGGCCTGGGGCGCGGGGTTGTCCCCCTCCGTAGCGGGAAAGGTTTCGCAAGGGTGCCCGAGCCCCCCCCCCAGCCCTCCTCTGCGGGTTCAGTTGAAGCGGGAAAGGCCCAAAGGAGCGGCTGGCGGGGCTGCGGGGGGCGCCCGAGGAAGAGGCCTTCCCTGGGGAGGTCCTGGGGGGCCCGACGCGTCTCCGCAGTGCTTGCAGTCTGGCTGCCGAACAGGGAGCTGCGAAAGAGCCTCAGTCGGATAGTAAAGACAAATTGTCGTCCAAAAGTAAATTCTGACTTTTTCTCAGCTTGTTGGTGTAGCATTAGTCCTATGCAGAATAACATTCTCAACGTGGAGAAGAACATATACTAGATTATTTGCCCAAATGACCATAAATAATAGTTTTTCCCCCCCTTTTAATATTCCAGGAAGTATGTGGAGTGAGAACAGTCCGAATTGTAATCTGGTGTCGGGAACATAAGGTCAAGCCAAGGGCCCAAAGGGCAAGGATTACCTGTTAGCAGCCACTTCCCTGCCTCCTGAGCTGAGGACTGAGGGCTGAAAGATAATCCTGTCCTAAAGCTCAAGGCCAATTTGGTCTCCCGTTCCTCCGAGGTCGGTAAAATGAGGACCCAGATAGTTGGGGGCAACACTGTGGGACTGTGAAGCACTGTGGGACGGTATATAAGTCTAAGGGTGATTGCTAAGTGCTGAAGGGAAAGAGGCTTCTAAGCAAAGCAGCGTGGACTGACAGCTCCCTCCCTCGGACAGCTGCTTGCATTTGGGAGGGAGAGGCAGGCTGTGTATCTTTCCAAGGTAACAGAGTCATCATGACCAGCAGTTTTAACTGCTGTGCATTTATATACTAAAGGTGTCCAGATTGGTGGTCAGCACTATTTTTATTCATTTAGTTTATTTAAATTATTCTTATTTCACTTTTTCCCAAAAGGCTGCCAAAATGATTTTCTGGTAGTGAATCTGACAATTTTGTGAGTAAGAATTACTTCCTGTCAGCTTTATCGGATTATTCTTTCAGAAAACGAAGAAAGTGTTTTTAGGGACCCCTTTCTCCATGAGCATAATCTGTCGGGCTTCTATCTTATTCTGTACCCGTAAAAGGTCAGAAATTCCGCTAGGATATTTTATCAGCTCCCTTGACCATCTTGGAGATTATTTTTCATCATTCCATTCCTGTGGGAATTACTTGAGGTGCACAATACACAGTATTCCAGGTTTAAACTATATTGAAACACAGGCCGTGGCTTGTTTGTTTTCATAGATTTCATAATTCTGTAAAACCATACGTGGACAGTTTTTGCAAAAAAAAAGGTATATAGTTCAAGCTAGTTATGCCTAAGTCTTATTTGCTTCACCGTTGGATACTTGCTGGCTTTCTAGGGTTTTCCTCTGGCCTCCCTTTAGCCGGAAGACCATTCTGATGGAGCCCTTGATTGCCATTTCTGCAGGGAAAATGCCTGAAAAAGAGAAAGAAGGATAGGGGGCGCTTTTGGTGCCAGATAATTTGATTTCAGGGTGGCTTATGTTAAACCAAAGAACATTTAACAAATCTAAAGGAGAGAAAAAAAGTGAGGAGAATATTTGAATTGTTTCTGCAGTGCTTCCAAAAAGCTACAGATTCTCCCAGGCTTAACCTTCAACATGCATAATCCCATCGAGACCATTTGGTTGCAAAGGCAGGTTTGAGGGCCCAATGTTTACTCTCTCTTCTTGTCTTTCAGGTATATGTATCATGTTTTGACCAAAAATACCACTGTGACTGACCACAACCGCAACCTTTTGGTGGAAACCATTCGATCGATAACCGAGATCCTGATATGGGGAGATCAAAATGACAGTTCAGTGTTTGAGTAAGAGCTTGTATGATTTTGCTTTAACAAATATGGACTTTTTTCATTATGTTTCTCCCTGTTACATGGATGTTTTATTTTCTGTAACTACCGAGAATTATTCAACTGCAGTAGCCTGAGAAGCTAATAAATATATCAATATAGTTCTAATCATGCTAGTTAAAATATAGTTATCACTATCTTCACCAATATTATATTCCAGCAATAAACATTTGAATGAAATTTCTCAATAAGATACAGTAAATTGGTAAAAATATTTACATTCCAGCTTTTTCTTGGAGAAAAACATGTTTGTGTTCTTTCTGAACATTCTGCGCCAGAAGTCGGGCCGTTACGTATGTGTGCAGCTTCTCCAGACTTTAAATATCCTCTTTGAGAACATCAGTCACGAAACATCCCTTTGTAAGTCTGCACATTTTTCTTTAGGCAAAGCAACTTTTGTTGAAAATGTAAGCTACACATATAACTCAGGTTATTGTTTTCTGTCATTAAGATTGTAGAATTTGAGATGTTTTAAATGTATTAGGTATTAAATGAATTAAATTGGGACTTGAGCTGGTTAATATTCTTCAACGTACAGTACTGTTCAACCACTTAATTTTATTATCTTAGGCCAAGTGGTTTCTCTTTTCACAAGGAAACGTAAATTTTGCAAAAGATCTATGATACACATCATAACATTTTTTGAAACATGCTTTTAAAATGTTTTGACACTCCTTTTTTCCTGAAAAAAGAAACAGTGAACTATAAACAGAAAGTTCTCCTTTGATACATGTGCAACGTGTACAGACAAGGCAAGAGAACGCAGAGCACAGAAATAAGGCGGAACATATAATTCTTTATGTGCTTCTAGCAGAGGAGATTTCTCCTTGTTCCCTTTCGTCTTTGTTTCTGATTGGATAGAATCAGAATCAGAGATGGCAGTGATCCTTTAAGAAAACTCTCTGCTAGAATGCTTTGTGCATAGCCTTTGCTGAATTAATTTGTATGCTAAATCAGTCCTCTACTTACAACAGTTTATTTAGTGACTGTTCAAAGTTACAACGGCACTAAGAAAAGTCACTTATGACCATTTTTCACAGTTATGACTTTGCCACGTCCCTATGGTCACGTGATCAAAACTCAGACGCTTGGCAAGCGGCTCATACTTGTGACTCTGGCTGTGTCCTGGGGGTGTCACGTGATCCCCTTTCGTGACCACCTGACAAGCAAAGTCAATGTGGAAGCCAGCTTCACTTAACAACCAGATTACTAACTTATCAACCATAGTGATTCATATAACAACTGGCAGGTTGTAAAATGGGACAAAACTCATTTAACAACTCTCACTTAACAACAGAAATTTTAGACTGCATTGTGGTCATAAGTCGAGAAATACCTGTATTTTATGCATCTGTATTTTTTTCCCTCAGACTATTTACTGTCCAACAACTACGTGAACTCTATAATAGTGCACAAATTTGACTTCTCAGATGAAGAAATCATGGCATACTATATTTCATTCTTAAAAACACTTTCCCTGAAACTCAATAATCACACCGTTCACTTTTTTTACAACGAGGTGAGTCGCAGGTTGAAATTCTGCTTGTTGAGAGTTGGTTAAATATTTTCTGGAACAACGTACTGTATATATCGTTGCCAAATGTGTACTTCAGAAGTGACCGTGGTTATTTCTGTATCCTAATTGTTTATTTCAAAATCTGTAAATATTTAAAAAGTTCTTAGATGGTTCTGCTGGAGTCGCAGTTGAGAGCATCAGGAGGGACCCAGCCTTAGGAACAAGGCTTTAAAACTCTGCCCAAAAGCTTGTGCACCAAACCAGGTGCAAAGGGAAGCTTCTTGTTTTATCAAAGCCCCAGAATGTGTTTTAACAGTCCAGCGCGTGAAAGGGTGGAATAAAAATGCATAATCTTTACCATCTTCCTTCTCAGCATACCAATGATTTTGCCCTGTACACTGAGGCCATCAAATTCTTCAACCACCCAGAGAGCATGGTCAGGATCGCAGTGAGAACCATCACATTAAACGTCTACAAAGGTAAGCGTCTTCTTGGATAGTTTCAGCACCACACTCGCGTTTGAAGTAGACTGGGGCTTCTGGCCTTCCCAGATTTATTGGGAGAAAGTTAGAGAGGGCAGAGCCCGATTTGACCTTGTGGAAAACATGACGCTCTTGTCAGACACTCTGACTTCCAGAACGAGTTTTTTTAAGTTGCTGCTGTCATCTCAGCCAGGAGGGAGCAATAAGAAGCTGGGGAAGCCCAGAAGAGAATACTCTGGGAATGGCCACGAGAGGTCGCTCTTGGCATGAGGTTTTGCACTTGGGGAAGGATTTTTCTCGAGAATGTGCGAGTGAGACTCTCCGAGTTGCTTGGTCAGGACCAAGAGCAGCTTCCTGGAATATTTATAGAACTTTTGACCCCCTTCTGTCTCTCTCTCTCCCCGTTGCATGCATACTCTTCTTCATCAGAGAAGAAAATGTCAGCTGCAGTCTAGAACTCAGCCAGATGTTTTCCATTGTAAGGACATAGAGGCCATGCCTCTCTTCGGACATTAGAGGTAGAAGTTTTTAAGGCAGGGAAACATTCTGGGCTGGCTTGCATGCCCATTTAAAGCTGGCGTTCAGAATCTGTGGACTCCTGCAACAGAGGAAAGGGAGGGCCATTGGATTTGCTTATCCCTCATGTAAAGAAACACATAAACTGGAGCTGGACCACTTCCAAAGAGTGGTTTTGGTCACATGCTCTAGAAATAGTACTCTGACATAGACAGAATTTGTTCTATTCTAAGCCATAAGACTCCTAGAGAGTCTGTAAGTAATCAAGACTGTCAGAGTCTTGATTATTTGTATAAAAAATAAAGGCTGGACATAAATAAATAAAATTAATAGTAGTCCCTCTCCTGGAACGTGCAGTTGACGGGAGGGCACCTCCTGATGGCTGGCCTTGGGACAGGCGGGTTTTCGAGGGCTGCTTGCTTGTTTCTAACTGGTCTCTTCTAGCCTAGATGCTTGCTGTTTTAGCCACTGACCTCTTTGGAGCTCCTAACCCTGTTAACCATGTTGTCTTTCTTGTCCCCTCTCGTCTTTTCTTCACTGACGCATCCCGTGTCTCTTAAAACAGTGTCATGTAAGTCTGCTGATTGATTTTCCCGCCTTGTGCTGTTACCCAGTTCCCTAGAAAACAAGTGGGGCAATTCTTACCTGCGGCAGATTCCATCTGCTTTCAGCATTTTTATTATTAGATTAATCTCTCGAAGGGGATGTTGGCTTCTCCCAAAAACTGCGATAGAAATAGAATTGATTTTGGCCCCTGTTGCCAAAAGCAAGTTAGAAGAAGGGATCCATTTTTAAAGTGTTTGGGGAGAGATATAGCAATGATGATAACAGCTTGTTTGCCTTCAGTGGACAACCAGGCGATGTTGCACTATATTCGAGACAAGACAGCCGTCCCTTACTTCTCCAACCTCGTCTGGTTCATCGGGAGCCACGTGATAGAGCTGGACAACTGCGTTCAGACAGACGAGGAGTAAGCCTTTCTTATTTACCCAGCACCAGTTCTTTGGGAGAGGGTGGTGACTGCATATTTAGTCTGCTCCCTTTTTTTCAGGCACAGAAATCGGGGCAAACTGAGTGACCTTGTAGCCGAGCATCTGGATCACCTCCATTACCTGAACGACATCCTAATTATCAATTGTGAATTCTTAAATGATGTCTTGACAGACCACTTGCTCAACAGCCTCTTCCTGCCTCTCTACGTGTACTCCTTAGTCAATCAGGATAAGGTGAGGAGTTCCTGTCCAAAGCGGCCTCTTCCCTTGTTTGAGGTGGCTTTACGAGAACCCAGCTGCCTTGTGACATTTTTCTGAAGTAATGCAACAGCAAGAATCTCTCTGTTGAGCCATAGAAGCAAAGCTGCATTATCGTATTAAAATAATTATTCTATCGTTAACCTTGCGGAGTTCACCACAGGAGAGAGGGAATTGCTCCGATTCACACAGGCTTTTTCTCACCACTGTTTACCAGGAAGGGAGCAGGGCCGCCACTGTTTCCCTGTCAGGGCAAAATGAGAGAGAAAGGGAGGTCGTGACAGCGCAGCGAGTGTCATTGGGCCATCAGTTCAGTTGAAAGAGTGACAAAGAGTAACAAAGATTTCTAAACCCCTCTTGATGTAATAATTGCACATGAACCATCCTGTGGCTTGCCTTGGCTAATCGTCTTTTGGGCAGCCACAGAAGTTACTTCATGGGTTCTGATTAAAGCTTCAGGGTTTTATCTTCTCCTCCTAGCTCAGTGGTTCTCAAATAGTGGGGCGGGCCCCCCAGGGGGGGCGCGAGGCTCCGTAAAGGGGGGCTCGTTTGACCTCGGCAAATACTGTCATATTGGACGCACGTGACACACGCAAAGGACCCGATTGGATAGACAGTCACGCGGGGGGGCATGACAGAAAATAATTGAGAACCACTGTCCTAGCTTGATTGTCGAAAGCTTTCCCTTCTTGCAGATCCGGTTGTGCCTCTTTGGAAACTGTTTTTTGTGTGTAATTCAAAAATGAAAGGGAATGTTGTTAATACATGCATTAACCATTCCACAGTTAAAAGCTGTTTCTTAATTGTTTCTTCCTTAGACTGGAGAACGGCCAAGAATAAGTTTCCAGGTTTCTCTGTATCTATTGTCACAAGTAAGTGCTAATTATCCAGTACTGATTCCAGAACAGTATTTCTCAATCTCAGCAACTTTTAAACTGAGTGGGCTTCAGCTTCCAGAATTCCCCAGCCAGCATGGGATTCTGGGAATTGAAGTCCACCTATCTTAAACGTTGCTGAGGTTTGAGAAACTTTACTCTAGACCAGTGATAGTGAACTTTTAGAGACTGAGTGCCCAAACTGCAACCCAAAACCCACATGCATTGTCGAGTGCCGGGTGGGTGTTGCCCATTGGGTGGGCGTGGCTGCAGTGGTAACTGCAGACTGGGTGGGACTAAAAAGTTCAATCAATCAATTCCAACTTTGCAAGAACTTTTTTTCCCCACAAGAAGTTGAAATTGACTGAACTTTTTTTTTTTTTTTGCACACGGCGTTGGAGGCCTAAAGTGAAAAGGTTTTATAAAACTCAGCTGAAGGCCTAGGACTGGGGCGACGATGCGCGTGCCCACAGAGAGGGCTCTGCGTGCCGCCTTTGGCACCTGTGCCATAGGTTCGCCACCACTGCTGTAGACTCTATTAAGAATTTGATAGAGGATCATGTCTACTTTTTAACAATGATATAGCAACTGTGTTAAAACAGGCCATGGGTGTGTGGGGGGGGTGTCAGTCATTTTGCAATAGTGATTTGGGATGGAGTAAGGACAAGCGTGGGAGGGAAATTAAAGGACCAGGGTCACTTAGAAGTGTCAAGGCAAATAGGTGGAATGGGGTATTTAATGATGGGGAGTGAGAAAATGCCTGGATTAGTTACAGCTGTCTCTACAAACCACACTCTCTGTTGTGGAAAACTGCGGGCCCTTCTGCATGATGTCAGGAAGCATTTAAACATGTTCTCCTCTCTCCCACACACTGAAAGAAGGATCATCCGGTGAAATCAGCCTAAAGCAGGCATGTCAAACTCGCAAGGTCATGTGAGGTGGGCGCAGTTTTGGTGTGACTCATCTGGCCCGTGGGCCGGCAGTTTGACATGCCTGGCCTAAAGTAATCACTTTAGAGCAAGATAAATGGGAAGTTAATGAGTTTCCCCTCCCAACAGTTTTCTGCTTCTCTGCCTCCCCCCACAGGTTTTCCTAATCATCCATCATGCCCCCCTGGTGAATTCGTTGGCCGAAGTCATTTTGAACGGAGACCTCGCAGTGTTTTTCTCAAAGGTGGAGCAAGATGTCCAGAAAAGCTCTGTAAGTCTATGAAGAACGTCTGTCAACTTTAAGATTCCTTCTTGGTTTGTTTAGCAAGACTGGGGCTGTGGCATGATCTGCCTGGCATCTAAAGGGTTCTTGGGTACGCTTTATCTTGGTGATTTTTTTTTAAAGAATCAGGCCTGATCGCGCATGCAAGCTGAAAGATAAAAAGCGCTGTGGCACATGGAAATGATCTTGTCTTTGTAGCACGCAGACTCATTCTGGGGTTTTGCCCGCTTTTTTGTTCAGTGGGTTCTGTTACTGGGAAATCTGTGGTTAGAAGCTTGTCGCCTGTTTTCTGCTCTAGCAGTTTGACTTCCACTGAATGTCTTTTGCAGAATTACTTGGTCTTGAGTTTTTGTTTTGTTTTTTTAAGTATGTGAGAGAATGAATTACTCGCAATGGGTTGTAACAAGAGTGGATGTTATTTTAGTGGTTTTTCTAGGTAAGTTTAATCCCTCAAAAGGCAGACATGTTCCAGAGCTAATCTTAGCATTTTTACTTTATTCTTTAACCAGCAATCATTGTTACATACTCATAGCATTTATTAAGTAAGATGGGGGTGATTTCCTAAAGCTTTGGAAACAAATCTGGAATAGGGCAGTCAGTGGAAAACTCTAGGTGGCAGAAATAGGACCAGCTCAATTTGAGCAGACCCGATATTGCCCTGAAACAAGCCCAGGTGGGTCAGCTGTCCTGCAACTCCCAAAATGTAGTTGGCCTTTTTTCCCCAATAAAAGCTTTTTGAGTGAAGGTAGGGAGAAATGTGGTTGCCTCGATGACTTGAGAAGGACGAGGGGGGACAGGATAGCAGTCTTCCTGTATCTCAGGGGCAGCCCCAAAGAAGAGGGAGTCAAGCTATTCTCCAAAGCCCCTGAAGGCAGGACAAGAAGCAACAGAGGGAAACTAATCAAGGAGAGAAACAACCTAGAACTAAGGAGAAATTTCCTGAGAGTGAGAACAATTGATCCATGGAATAACCTGCCTTCAGAAGCTGTGAATGTGCCAGCACTGGAGGTTTTTAAGAAGAGACTGGACAGCCATTTGTCTGAAATGGTATAGGGTTTCCTGCCTGAGCAGGGGGTTGGACTAGATGACCTCCAGGGTCCCTTCCAACTTCTTCTTGTTGTTATCATCATCATCATCCTAAAAGCAGTGGGGGTAGATATTGTAATGCTGGTGGTTTAAAGAAGCCCCTCTCTCACTGAGAGGGGGGAGAGAAAATGAACCAAAGGCAGAAGGAAACAGCAGCATTGATGGCAGCGAAGGGCAAGTGGTGCAGCAGAGCCGAAGGAACGTGGGAAATTCAAATGATTGGGAGAATCCCTGCCCACTTCCTCGAAGCAATTTTGATGGCAACAAGGGCTTTGATTTTGGTAGCCTTTTAGAGATGGCACTCCAGAATAGGTTGCTGTTGGTAGGCAGGTCTTAGGCTCAAGCTCTGCCATTTTTAGGTTAAATGGGGGTAGCAAACGGTCAGGAAAGGTTTATTTCTCTGAGCAGCTGAGAAAAGTGGGAAAGCAGTCTGCAGTTTGTCCCCCCACCCTATCTTCCCCTATCTTGGTGAGCTGAGAGATGGGCTGGGTGATCAGCCCCCACACCTGATGCACTCTTTTGTCGAAATATGAGTGCTCTTGAGAAAAGCGCTTCTCTTGCTATGAGACAGTTTTCAAATCCGAGAAGCTGCCTGTGTTTCCAGCAGTGGGAAGTGCCAGAAGAGGGTGGTGGTCTCCTCCTCGCTGTCTGAGGCTGGTGAGTCATGCGCCCGCCTGACACCCGCCCAAGGCGACCCAAAGTCACATTCGGCATTCTTCTGGCCTCCTTTGAACTGGTTGTGCTCTGCTTCCTGCCCCAGTCGGATGTGGCAGCTCCTGCTGCTCCCCGCCTGGGCTTAACCTACTTTCGCTCCTTCCTGTAACCTCAAGGGGGGGGGGGGGCTGGAAAGGCTTGGCTTGCCGAGTAGATGCTCCAGCCTGCCTTTAGGTGTACAGACTAGGTGGGCAAATAGCCTTGCCCAAGGAGACGACTAGTGATAAATATTCATCTTTGCATGATTTGCTTCTTAATCTCGGCTGGAACACTCTGCCAAGCTCAGTAGAGTTAGGAAACAGGTGAGGGGTCGCCATGAGTAATTGCACACCAGAACTGAACAAGAATTAAATCTTTAAAAACTATAAGACAGAACCCTTTTTCCAGACTGAGAGCTTTTCCAACTGTGATATCAATCTGTCTTCTTTCTTCTTTGGACCATAAACATTGTCTTTCTATTGCACGAAAGATTGGAGGTTTCCTGGATTGTACCCTTAAATCTGCTGTTGGTCTTGTTGAAGATCTGTGGGGCAAGAATTAAGCTAGTCCAAGCACTAATTCACCACTCACATTTACAAGAAAGAAAGTGCCATTTGTACTTAGAATTGTGACTTGGTTGGGGATTAGTTGAGTTTCCATGAAACAGAAGAAATACTGTAGCAGGATGGGGCTTGAATAATCCCCCTGGCTCCTGTTGAACAAGACTCTTGGCATAGAATAAAACAGTGTAGGTTTCTAGGTGTTTGGTGAGACCCGCAATCTGTGATGGTCCTTGCAAGATTTTCTTCAAGGGTGTCATGGATTTACTGCCGGACCGTGTCACGTCCCTCTGCCCCCACGAGAGAGGGGTGGCCCCTAAAGGCTGTGGTGTAAGAGCACACAGGGTTGCTGGCCTCCCTCGTCCTGGCCTGTTCTTGCCATTTGCTACACACAAGGAATCAGCCACTGAGAGGCCGTGTTTGGGGAGCAGAAAGGCTGCTTGGCATTTCTTTTGCAGTTCTAAAACACCCGCATGAACTCCTGACTTCTCTTCCTTTGAAGCTCGGCCCGTTCATTTTGTTAGGAAGATCGTGGAGCTGACCTTCTTCTGTTTATGGGATGTTTTAGGTCAAGACCGGCATCAGGTGCTTCATTAAACCTTCCGAGACCTTGGAGCGCTCGCTAGAAATTAATAAACAGAAGGGACGAAAGAGGCTGCAGAAGAGGCCCAATTATAAAAACGTTGGGGAGGATGAGGAGGAAGAGAGGGGCCCGGAAGACACCCCAGAAGGCACCGAGAGTCCCTCCAAGGGCCTCAGGCCCAGTGGGGAGAGTGAAGGTGAGAGGATCCCCAGGTGCCGGCTGCCCATTCTTGCACGGTTGATGTTGGGGGTGGCTGGACAGCTGGGTGCAGGTCCCCTTTTCCTACTCCTGAGTCTTCAGGTTGTCTTTGCCTGCCTTGCCTACCGTCCGTCTCTCGGGACCCTGCAGCTGCCTGATTCTCCTGGGTCAAACGGGGGTTTCCTTCCCGCTGCAGAGTGCCTGGAGCGTACTTTGTGCTGAGACAGGAGGCTGGCTTCAGCCGTTCCTAATCTGCTTGCCTTGATTGTTTAAGGAGAACCCCTGGGTTTACAGGTCAGCAGGATTTCCTCACAATTGGGGCATCAGTAATCTCTCTGCAGGGTTCCTTTGAGCTCTCTACGGACCAGATTCCGATGACCTCTTCTGTTCAGTTTGGCCAGAATCCCAGCCACCCATGGGCAATGTCCGCCTGCTTCTGTTTTGTTGAACAAACCCGTCTCTCTAAAATGTGTCTCTCTTCAGAAATTGAGATGGTGATCATGGAGCGTTGCAAGCTCATTTCTGCCACAGAGCAAAACATAACCGACGAGGAGAAGAGCGCCGCTGCTTCTGAAATGTCCAGCTGGAACAGGTAGGCAAGCCTTTCTCCAGGCTGGAGTGCTGTTATCCAGCCTGGAAACTCCCAAGATTTGGGATCCACAACTTGTAACCCAGCCATGCGAAGGGCTCATCTCCTGATAGATTCTCCAAGGACTCTTTTGCTCATTATAATTCAGGGCCACAAAGGGAGATATCAGGCATACAAATAAAAGGCAGAATCCTCAGAAATTGATTTTTTTTAAAAAAAAAAAATCCCTTTTTTCTTTCCCCAGGCCCTTTCTGGAGATGGTGTATAATGCCCTGGAGTGTGCTGAGTTTGACTACTATGCTCTTTTTGTGTTGTGTCTTCTGTACGCCATGTCTCATAACAAAGGTAAGTTTGTGCTTTGTGAAGGGGACCAAGGGCGGCTGCAAAATCTGCTCTGCTGCTCCGACTCCTTCGGTCGGCTCAGGGAATTAAATTCCAGCCAAATCCCCCTTTACCTCCATGGGTCCTAATTTGCATCAGCAAAAGAAGTGAGATTTGTGGAGGGGAAGCGGTGTGTGTGTCTGAGCTACATTTCCTCCTGGCTGAATGACTAACCCTGCCCTCCATCTCAGGGACAGAAAGCCCAGTCCCTCATGGCTGCCCAGTGATCTCTCTGGTTTCTCCTACCCAGAGATGCAACTTTTAGGGGAGTTTGAAACTTGGCACCTTCTCTTCTAAACGTTGCATGGGAGTATTATTAAAGATGGCGGAGAACATCCAGGGCTTCCTGCTGAGGGATTCCATGCTCTGACAGAAGCAGTCTGGGACCCGTGGAGGTCTTGGACAAGAAAGTCTGTCATGGGCAGGTATTAAAACTGGGGTTGCGAACCCCGGGCCACGGACTGGTCCTGGTCCGTGGCCCATTAGGAGCCAGGCTACGCAAGCGAGCAAAACTTCATCTGCGCATGCGCAAGATCTCGGTAGCACATTTCCCACAGAACCGGTCCCTGGTGCCAAACCTTTGGGGACCACTGTATCAAAGCACCAAACTCCTAAGGTTGGAGTTAGTGGATTGAATAAATGCCAGTCATAAAAGGTTCTCCTGGGACTTCCGGTTCCGGTTCGCGGCGCTTAGTCGTACGGGGAGACTCGTCTCCTCGCCGGCTAGCTTTGCCTTCGCCAGTCGACCCTTATACGGGTCAAAAGTCGCCCTGGAGGGTGCGACTTCCGTCAAGGAGGCTTCAGCTCGGCTGCAGAGGAGCGGCGGCTCCTCCAGTGTCTGGGCCGACGGAGAAGAAGATCAGCCAGTAAAATGGCCGATCACCCTGCTGCTTCAAACCGCAAGTCAAAGAACATCTAAGCTGTAAGAACCCCCGTGGTGAATCCGGGTGAGACTTTTTCTTGTCACTTTCTCTATTTTACTTTGCTTCTGGAACCTGTAAGAGCCTTGTTGGAATTATTTCCCTGGCTTGAGAAGGCAGCTTTTACGTGTTTGGGAAAGAAGACGTTTTTTTTTTTTTAAGACTATCTTATTTTCATACTTTTGGGGATACAGAAAATTCTCCTTTTTTTTAAGAATTGTACTATCATCCGGTGTTGGAAGATTATTTCTTCTTTCACACTATACTTTTAAAGACTGGAAAAGACCTTTTTTTAACCTATTGAGGACATCTAGTGGCGAAAATTTAACATTGTAATTTCTGGTTATTGTTTGAAAAGTTTTGACCTTCAAATTATTCTTGAAAAAAGATAAGCTGTGCAGCTGTTGGGAACTGTGGGGGTAGACACTGACTAATCTTTATCAAATACAGTCCCCACAAAAAAGAAAAAGAAAAAAGAGATTTTTTTCTACTTACTATTAAAATGGAGGAATCTCATTCACAACTAAACTATAATCTTATACTGGAAAAGATATATGAGGCCACTGCAGAAATTTGTGCCATATTGAAAGAACCTATTACAGAACTAAAATCCAGAAATCTCATGTCAAACATTCAAATGGATGCTCAGACTACATCTGACTATTTGACAAATCAAAACACACCAGAAGAGGAATCAACAGAGATAAAAGAGGAACTCATCATACCTTACAAATCTCTCATTTGTAACTTTGAGGAACAGAAGAAGCAAAGACTGAGATTTGAAACTACAAAGCAACGATATTTTAAGGAGAGAAACAGACCCCTGACACAGAGGATGGGACTCTTATTCTTTCAAAGCTTACTGCAAGCAACAAAAATAGATCTACTGGCTGAAAGGGAAGCATCTTTATGGAAACCTACCTGGCATAGGAAAAAAGCCAGAATTAGATTGAAAAGAGAAATTTAAAATGTTGGAATGGAACAAAAGACAACGCTGGATTTACGGACTGTTTTAAGGATCAAGGCTGATAGATATTTTAAACAGATTAAGAATGTACTGGATTTGTATATTCATGTACTGAATAATAAACTGAATTTGATGAAAATCATTGTATTGGAATTGAAAAAATAATGACTATTTAGATTGAATGGTTTCAATAATCAATGGAGTGTTTTAAATGAGTAAGATGACCTTTTTGTATGACAACAAAGACGTGATAAGGCATGATAAGTAATGGGAGAAAATTTGAATTTTGTTTAATGAACTTGAATGAATTAAGGTTTAATATTATTTTGTTATTTTAAAGAGATGGATTGATTGTGGGATTATATATGTATAGGGTTAATTAATACTTTATTGCTATTAGGATATTTACTGTGTTGTGGAAGAAGAAACAAATGAGATTGGTGATAAAATGAGGGATGTGAGAGATTAAGAATTAGAATTGATAATTTGTTGTTCTAAAGCTAAATTACGGTAATTGTAAACTGATAAAAGTTATAAAACAGGTTGAGCAGTTATAGAAATTTAAAATAGAAATGGAATATTTTAAATGTATTACGTTATTCGAGGGAAATAGAGAGGGGATAGCGAAATGTATTGTGCTGAGCTGTTTATATATGTCTTTGCTTTTGAATGTTTGACCACCCAAACACCACGGTGGGTCTTGAGTACTTTTTCTTAAGAAATTGAAAAACTAATAAAATGTGTTTTTAAAAAAAAGGTTCTCCTGGAAATTCAGGGAGTTCAGGGCTGGTTGATAGGAAATGGAGAGTTGCAAACTATTCTGTGTGCATCCCTCAAAAGGTGTCCTCTTTGTGTAGAAGTGCAACCGTGAACGTTTGTGTACTATCCTTAATGCTTGGCAAAAAGTCATTACTGACACAAATGTTGTTGAATGAGGATGACACAAGTATTGTTGTTTCTGAGAAATAACCTCGCTGTTGTGATAATGTGGCTTTAAATAACTTGTATGCTCCAACCAGCATCAATTAATTGATCTTCTCAGTTCCTCTGCTCATGCATACAAAGATATGTAGCTTTTCTTGATCTTGGCTGTCCCTTTCAACCCCCAACTGCAGGAGATCTTAGTTTCATTTCACAATGATGTGCCTCTAACTGTACTGATAACAGTACAGATACCGGTGCCAATCTGTAGCTTTCTGTTTCTCTTCTCTCCCTTCCCCTCTTTCTTTCAATTGTCCCGTGGGGTTCCTCTTCCCAGAGGGTCCTTCTGGTAAACAAGAGAAAGCAAAAGAGGGTGCTGATTCTGACCTAGCTGGGCAGCTAAGATGCTGGTGCCGGTGGTTAAAAGCCAGCAGATATAGCTTTTGGCTTGGCCTGCAGCCTCAGCCCCCTTTGGTGACCTAGGCTCTGTATCCCCTTTGAGTATCAGAGTGTCTTGTGAGAACATCCTTTGTACAAAGGAAGTGAGAGGCTTGAAGTTGCTCTCAAGATGTTGATTTAGGTTTTATCAGCCCTTTCCCCGCTCCTCCAAGGATCAAAAAACATCAAGTGGTGCCATTTACATTGTCAGGAGGAATTGACCAGTAGTGTGGGTGGTAGAACTGCCGCTTGAGGAGAAGAAGATGAATCACGTGATTCCAAGACTTTCAGATGCTTATCAGGGTCATGAATTGGAGGGAAGCTAAAGATGAATTCAGTTGATAGGAGAGAGCAAGGCGGGTTCGTTCAAGTTGTGTGAATGGGGCTACTGTTTTGCCATTTTTATTAGCAGCCCAGAGTCATCTTCAAGTTGGGTGACACCCACATCTAATGAAATAAATAATAAATCCTTGTTTCCTAAGCTTTTCAAATTTTTGTGTGGGCAGCTTTGAGGAATTCTACTGCAAGCTGAGCTGCCCTTTTTTATTGGCTTGTGATTTCTCGGAATTGCTTTGCCAAATCAAGTTGTAATTACAACATTCAATTCCTGTTTCTCCCAAGGAATCAAGCCGATCACCCTGGAGAGGATTCAGCTCTCGGCACGGGATGCCGAGGAGAAGAACTCATACAACCCTGGGCTTGCGGAGAGGCTCATCAGGATCATGAGCTACGCTGCTCAGCCAGGTAGAGGGTCTGTCATGGACCACCTTCGCTTTCCACCAGTCAGTCCTGGAACTGTGCAACTGTGTGTGGTCTAAAACAAGTTTTTGAAAAAGAAGGAAACACGGAGCTTTTCTTCCAAGAGCTGTTTATGACAATGAAAGCATAAACCAGCAAGCAATTGTTCAGTGACATCAGGAAAAGTCATTATAAACCCATTAGCCTTCTTTGGCATGCAGAGCTTGTCTCCCAGGACAGCGAACAGACCCGGTTTTCAATGGGAGCTTATAAAAGATACCCGACTGTCCAGAGTTGGTTGTAGGCAAGGTCTTCCCTCCACAATCAGCACAGGCTGTTACCCTCTTGGTCTAGTAAAAAAATCAAAAATAGCCCACACAAAGCGGTTTGGTAGAGGACTGAATCCTTCTGCCCCGTTTGTCTATGAATAAAAGTCCCGCTTCTTAATGCCTGGTGGGATTTCCACCCACTTTTCTGTAATGTTTCATCTTCAGGGGCAGAAAGCACTTTGCAACTTTGCTGTTGGTGTGTTGAACTTGCCCCGCTTGAACTGGTGTGGGGCAGGTATTAACTGAAGCTTGATCTGCCAGGAAGAGGTGTCCCCCGTTCGACTGGTTTCCTCTGAATCTTGTCCTGCTCTGTTTCCCTCTCCTCCCTCCCACAGATGGCAAAATCCGCCTGGCCACCTTGGAGCTCGGCTGCCTCCTGTTGAAGCAGCTAGTCTTCACCAAACACGGCAGCATCATCAAAGACGTGCACCTTGCTTGTTTGGAAGTGAGTCTTTAAAAAAAAAAAAAAAGATATTACGGTCTGCCAGTCGTGGTTTGTCCTGCTAGGCTGATCTCTCTTCCGAAGTAATTTGCAGAATCGGGAGTGATCATATCCCCATAGGAGCCTCTTGTGTGGCTGGAGTCTGTCCCTGCCTTTTTCAGCCACTGCAATTGAGGGTGGGACTCTGAGGCGCACGAGTCCCCCCCTCTACTGCGTGAAACCCGGGAAATCCCCCCCCCCTCAAATGAAGCTCTTCTCTCCCTCAGCAGCTGAGTCTGAGCCACCCCGTCTGGGGTCTTGGGAAGAGGGATCCTTTGCTTGACCCTGCAGTCTGTGCTCCTGGCAAATAGCAATTCACTCTGAACAGGCTGGGATTCTTTGGTTTCCACCCAGGTGGCCCATGCCAGCCCCTTTTTTCCCAGCCCAGGTCGTCCTTATTCAGGAGTGCCATGATCCATGTTTTCCCTTCTTAATCATTTTAGGGAGAAAACTCTACTGCGAATAGTCCATGTTGGGGAGGGGAGATCGTGGAGGGAGGTGGTGTGTTACTTCTGTGATCCTGCAGCCCATTCCGTGTCCTGAACCGAGGATTTTTCATTTCTGTTTAAGGGGGCAAGAGAAGAAAGTGTTCATCTGGTGCGGCGTTTTTACAAGGTAACCTCCCGGCCTTTAACTCTCCCAAACCAAATGCCGGAACCATCCTAGACAGCTGGGCGTGGCTGTTCAGGTTTCCAGAGAAACGCTTGCAGTTGTTTGCCAGGCGTTTGGCCGTTTCTCTCCTGCTCGGTAGAACTTTTAAATAAAGACCTGCTTGGTTCTGTTCAGTTGTGGCCTCTGAGCCACTTCAAATTTTGGGTATTCCTGCATTTGATGACTCCTCACAAAGTTTGCATGGAGCAAAACAGTTTCCAAACTGGTAGATTAGCTATATGGAATCATCCTCTGAATTATTGTTGAAGAACAGCCCCCTGACTGGGTTATGTCTGACATAGGCTGGTGGATCGTCCTTTTAAAGGTTTAAACCGTTGCCGGGAATGTTGCCCTGCTGTCAGGTGTCCCAGCACGTCCAGGGCCGATTCAGTCAAGTGCTTTAGATGCTGTTGGTAGAGAATCTGCATCAGGAAAAAATCGCTGCTTCAGGTGGCGAGGGGTTCTTAGGAGGTTCTTAGGAAGCTGCTGAATTGGGCCTTCACTCACTGGAAACGAAGGACCAGCAACACGAGAGAAGCGTTTCCAAAGCAGCTGCATAATTGAGCAGGTGCCCTCAGTTAAAGGCATGGCAAATCAGAGGGTATAACATTTCCTCCAAATAGAGATTTCTTTAAATAGAAGTAAATTGGTGTTGGAGTTGTGCTCATTCCTGTGTGAGGCAAAAATAGATCTTCAAGAATGTGGGATAAGGGAAAGAAAGGTTGATTTAAGCCCATCGTTAAAGGAGAAACTTTACCATTCTAAGAATGAATTCTTTATTTTCTTTAAAGGGAGAAGAAATTTTTCTGGATATGTTTGAAGATGAATATAGAACTATGACCGTAAGTAATGAGTACATTACCAGAGAGATACAAAAGTGACAAAGTGGAACATTGTTGCAAACCGTTTAAACCAAGTTTTTCTTTAAAAGCACTGTTGTTGTTATTAGCCTTTTATCAGTCAGGTTTTAAGGAAAGGGAAGGAAGTATTAAAGACCCATAAAATAGGCAAATATCAATTAAAGATTAGTAGTGGTGCACAGATGGGAAAGTTGAACTGGGAGGAAGCTGGATGTGTGGGTGAAGCTGGAGAAGGGGTGACCCTCCCCTGCTCAACCCCAGTAGTTCTCTTTGCGGGGGGGGACACATCAAGCCCTGAAGGGCTGTGTCTCTCCTCATGGGTGGATGTTGGCCTTCTGTGGAAAGGTTTGCCTTAGCCCTGTTATGGTCTCCTCCGTGGAGGAGGAGGAGGAGGAGGAATGGATGGGGTTTGTACAGTAGTTGAATGTAACATTTCCTCTTCCAGCTGAAGCCCATGAATGTGGAGTACTTGATGATGGATGCTTCCATTCTGCTGCCACCCACCGGAACTCCTCTCACGGGGATCGACTTTGTGAAGAGGCTCCCCTGTGGTGACGTGGAAAGAACCAGGAGGGTGAGTGCGCCTTCCGTGGGCCTTTGCCCTTCGGTCCTAAGTGCTCAAGGGGCGCAGTGGTCCCCTGCTCTCCCTGGAGCAGCTGGACAGTTTGGTGGAGGCTTGCCTAGGTCACTCCTAGCTGGCCACTCTGGCCACCCAGCTCATTCCATGAGACTGACCTGATTCTGCCACTGTGGGGACTTGCAGTGATTGTGCCAGCCACTCTGTCGCTGGCTTCTTCCCTCCCTCCCTCCCTCCCTCCCTCGAACTCTTCCTGGACTCTTCTTTCCCTTTTTCTCCATGAGCTTTTGCAAAGGATGATTGGAAAAGAGAAAGTAGTGAAGTAATGCCATGAGGCTAGAGAGGTAGAAGCACTCAGGGTCAAGGGGGGTCATTATATTCACTCCTCACATGCGATGCAGTCTAGGGAAGTGTGCAGCCACCTGTGTGTGCATGTGGAGCATGACAAAAGTGTTGAAGCGTGTCGAGCCCTGTTGCACGGAAAGGAGCTTCTGAGAAAGATTTGCGTCACAGACTCTGTAACCAGCTTTAAAGACAAATGGCCCTCCCAGTGCCCGTTTAGAGATGCTCTGGGGTCCACAGACTCTTTCCTTCCTGTGAAGCTGTTGATGAGAAACTGAATGGCTGGTACTGGGAGAATTCCTGCCAGATGGTTTCTTTCTCTCTGCTCAGAAAGTGCCGTTCTGCGTGCAGATGCCTCTTCTGGTTGCTGGGCTGATTTAACACTGAGAGCTCTCTGCTCTCAGCTGCATCAAGTGGGCTGTGTGGGGGGGGGCAGGGGGGGCAGCTAGAAAGAGTGAAGAGATCTTTGGGGCCTGAAGAGCTTTCTTGGAAATCCCAGCTACCAGTCTGGGCTCTGAATAGTTCTGTTTATACAGCTTTTATCGCTACATTATCTCTTATCTTATTTTTCTCTATAACAGGCTTCTGGGAAAGCAAAGGAGCCTTTTCCTAGAATAAAGCTCCTTCTTAAGGGGTTTCTAAATAGCTGGGGTCATAATGAAAAGCCATACTGTAAAACTATTTGTAATGAATCTTAGATCATTTTGTCTTGAACAATTAAAAAAGGTTAATGTTCTTATTTTTGGCAATAGTTGAAGCAAGAGTTTCTGCTGTCTGGAAATACAAGGTTGTGATAGTCTTTGTACGCAGATTTTGTCCTTACAAACAAAGGTTGTGTTCTAATGCATGTAAATAAAGTACATTAAAAATTATCGCTTTCTGTAGGAAGCCACAAACCACATCCCTTTGCAGACTCTTGGTTGAGCCTTGAGTAACTTCTTAATTTTTGCCAGCATGCCTAAAAATGACCCAAGTGACATTTTCAGTCTGAATTCACAAAACCCACTAAATCCTTGAATAAATAAGATGTAATTGCTGTGGCAATGTTACATCCTTTGCCAGATAAATAAATTCTCCTGCAATCAAATGAGAGGTTTAGTGTATTGTATCAACCAGTTTATTAAACCGTAAAGTGCCCAGCCTAGTCCAGTGAAGGCTAATCATTTTGGCTTGGTTGTTGCTGTTTCCTGCATGTTGGGGCTGCCTTTGAAAAGACCACAGAGATGAGAGCTGGTTGAAAAAGAAGTTGCCAGACCAGCAGTTCTGAACTGTTGCACTGGCTCCCAGTTTGATTTGGGACCCATTCATGGTGTTCACCAGGGAAGACCTCAGTGACTTCCTTTAAGGAAAGTTCCTCCCCTGACCCACCATTTTAAGATCCCATCATGGGATCTTGATCTCCCTTTCACATCTGTTCAGATGTTTCCAGATGTGCACGTGCATACAGAGAGACGCCGCTACAACTCCTGCCGGTAGCTGTGCGTGGGCGAGATTTCCTCTGGAACATTCAAGGGCAACATTAGGTAGCCTAAACCAGCCTTGCACCTTCCACCGTCCTTATGGAATCTTTCTCATCCTCCCAATAGCCCAAACTGGGCTCAGAAAAAGAAAATTCAAGACTTTACGTACCAGTCTTTTCATATATTTTTTTTCAAAAGCCAGTGTTTCAAGACTCATTTCAGTGATTTGTATCTAGCAGCAAATCACAATGGCTTTGGGAGTTAATGATTTGCTAAAAAGACCAACAGTTAATCTTTTTTCCCCCATTCTTTGGCATCTGTTAGATCATACTATAAAGTGGAAAGCAGTGGCAGCCATTTTCAGGGTTTTTTTTTCTGGGTTTCTGTATTTTTGTATTCTAAGAAAACTGGCACCACAAATGCAGTGTAAAGTGCCTTCCCTCTCTCTATCAATCATCTGACATGTTGGACCACAACTCACATAGTTCCCAGCCAACCTAGCTTGTGAATTCAGTACTCTTGGCATACTGGCAAGAGATGGTGAAGCCTAAAGCCGCCTTCGCCTACAGGCTGGGGGATAACTGTTGTAAAGCCCTGCAGGTTGGTTTTCCCTCCAGCCCCAGGGAAAGGACTGAAGAAGCCTGCAGTCCTTGGACCAACTAATTATGGGCTGGATGTCTGGCTGTTCCTAATTTTGCCCATCCTGCCATATCCTGAACTACGGCTGTATACGTGTATTGCAGGCTACTCAAAACAGTTTTAAAAAGTCAAAGAGAAAATGAGTTTGCTGGCCATGAAAAGTGTGGCCTTTTCTCTTTTTACACAGAGTATTCAGTGCAGCTATTTAAGACACTTTTTTCTTTTCTTTTCATTGCACATCCTCCTGGTTGAACCTCTTTGCTCTTTGCGTCTTCAGGCCATCCGAGTATTCTTCATGCTGCGTTCTCTGTCACTGCACCTTCAGGATGAGCCAGAGACTCAGTTGCCTCTGACAAGGGAGGAAGACTTAATTAAGACAGATGACGTCCTGGATCTGAGTGAGTAGCCACCAAGGAAAGAAGCCAGCCAGGCGCTCAAATTCCCAGGGAAAATAAGAATTGAAGCCCAGCGGTCAACAGGTTCTCCCTCAATGTTTTGGTTCCCCCTGCTTTCAGGTGTTTCCAGAATGCTACACACGTCCCCCTGCTTGCTTGATTGATGATCTTCTCTCTGTGCACATTGGGGTCTTAGTAGCTCAGATAGCTGGTCGGGAGGGGAAAAAATTGGGCTATCAATAGCTGTTCTATAACCATTGTTGCAGATCATATGCATGTAATATCTGGAGGACCAGCTGAGCTGAAGGAGGAGCCATTTTGTCCCTCGCAAGTGGCATTTTGTGGCTTTGTGCGTGTCTCCTAATTCCCCCCTTCCCTTTTGTCTGGGAGAAGTGAAATCACTTGTCACAGTAATCATCACTAACTGGAAGCCCCAAAATAGCCCCATTATGGTCTGGTAATAAGTCTTTATTATAACAAATTGGGTATGCTAGGAAATACAGTGCCCTTGTTTCCATTTGGGAATACACAGCTTCTATTAATAGAAAAATGTCAGCCATATTTACGGTAGTAATTATAAAAGAATTCACTTTACCGTAATGGGTATTTTAGGAAGTTGAACACTGGATTGTTTGTCTTGGCTTTGTGGCCCTAAGCAAGCGAGGAAGCCCAGGTGATTTCAAGCAGCCATTTGGTCCTCCTCCTGCAGCAGGAGCTCTTCCATTGCTGCGGAGTCATTTCTCACCCAAAGTTCGGAGAACAGGCCTTTCCCGTTGCCATTTGGACTCTGGGTCAGTGACAGAGATTCAGGGAAAACACCTCCTGGACGGGCAGTGGCTGAGAGAGGCGAGCAGAAGGTCGGATGTGGTTGGCTGGGATGCATCTGCCAGGGGAACTTTTCGTTCCAGTCACCCTGCTCAGCAATCCCACTGCAAAAGGTGTTGGGAAACACGATGGAAATAAGAGGAATGGGAGCCCCTGGGAAGGGGAAGGCCTGGGGGTGGGATGGGGGGCTTCAGGCCAGATGCTCCTCTGCTCGTGTGCTAGGAAATGAGAAGGGGTCCCTTCTTGCCTTCCTAGGAGTTGTGCTTGCGAATTTCTCCAGACTCGGTCCTCTCGGAAGAAGGCTTCCTGGAGCAGAATTTAAATAAGCTTGCAAACTAAATGGATATCATTATAATTTATCTGTCAACTGTTTTATAAGGATGTGCTTGAAACAAATCAAATTATAATATTCCTGTTGGCTTTCAAAATGGAATATTGTTGTTTCTCGCATATTGATTTTTTTATTAGTACCTGCTTTGCCCTCCCCCTCTTTTTTTAATTTTCAGTAATGCTCATTGATGTGGTTTTAATGTCTATTCCTGTAACCCTGACTCTGTTTCACAGAACGATCACAATTGCGCTCTGGAGCTTTAAAGCGCATTTTGCAATTCAGTTTCCCAATCTCTCTTGACTAAGCATGTCGTTCCCAACTCTCCAATCGCAGCTATTGCAAAGATTAAATACCAGTTTGGTTATTTTTCCTGGAACTCAAATTATGTTCGGTGGAGATTAGTTGTCTTCGGCCTCAATGAGGCTGGCTGTTGGTTTATACATTCTGTCTGTGTGGAGTGAGAGACCGGCCTCTGGCATTTAGTGGGCCAGCCAGGCTGTTCAAATCACGCTCCAACAAGTTTCTGTAGGCAGAAGCTGCAGTGGTGATTCCGGCACCGTCTGAACCGCTGATCGCAACCCCAAGCTCTCCTTCAGCACCTGCGAAGCGTTTACCCTCGCACTTCGCTCTAGATGATAACCATGAAGAGAGAGAAGCACAAACGCTCATGCACCCAACTTACTTTTAGGGCAGAAGCTTTCAGAAGGGGCCTCACGGTGGGCACGTAGCCTAGTTTCTCTTCTGTGGAGGGGAAGGACAAGCCCATTTTTGAGGAGAGAAAGGATATTCAAAGCTGAGCAAAGTAGGAGTCGGTGGGCAACTCAGAGAAGTCTTAATTACACAAGAATCTCCTTCCAGGGCAGCCTTTTCCTCAGGTTGTCGTTTGTGAGTCTCTTGGGGCCTTCAGACAAAAAGGGTTATTCCGACAGCAGGGAATGTAGGAGGATAAAATACACCAAATAAAGGGGCCAGTAAAGCTAGTTGGGATGAATGCAGTTCAAGAGTTCTCCTTCAGGAAAAACTACTGGATTGCCTGCTAATGGCTCTTCTTGCTGTTCTTCCTCCTCCAGACAACAGTGATTTGATTGCCTGCACCGTGATCACCAAGGACAGCGGTCAGGTCCAGAGGTTTCTGGCGGTGGATATTTACCAGATGAGTTTGGTGGAGCCAGATGTTGGGCGATTAGGCTGGGGAGTCGTTAAATTTGCTGGCCTTCTCCAGGTGAGCATAAAACTTAATGGATGGTTCAGATTTTGAGCTGCCTAAATGACAGCACAGGTGTCTGCGTGTCCTGGCAAGCAGAGTTTGCAGCAACTTGACAGCAAAGCCTTCTTTGGCCACCGGTGGTGAGCAACTCCCCCCCCCCCCAAGTGGAGCGGGACGAGTCTCCTGCCCAGAAAAGCCACCAAAATCTTAGGGACTTTCCATAGGTGAAGGTGCTGAGACTCCTGAGATTTTCAGTGTGAAAAAATGATGAGAGTGACAATTGACCTGGGATATTTTCAGAGAAGGGATTTGTGGCCACATGGCCAATTTCTATTTCAGCATGTTCCTTTCTAAGCCAGGTGGCTTAGCTTTTTCTGGTTCAGCGCACCTGAGCAGCTGCCGGTGTGTACAGTTTCCTGCAAGAGGAGACTTGCCAGTATTCATTGTGGCTTCCAGTTTATAGACTTTAAAGCAACAAGAATCAGCAGCACTGTATCTGGGATTCATCGTGCCGTAATTGACTGGCTCCACACAACACGGAGTCAGCTCAGCAAAAGATCTATTAGCTGCCTTAGCAGAATCCCGGGGGCTCAATTTGTATTCATCTTGGTTGCTGAGTGTGCCATGCAAATTCAGCCTCTTCAGTTAGCAAACCGTTGTGCAAACAGAAGTGGGTGACTTCTGAAGCTAAGCTAATCTGTTGTGTGAATACAGTCATTATGATGCCTCTGGACTAGTGATTCTGGACTAGTGATCTGCCTCTCCATTGCTGATGTCCCCTTGCTTAACCTTCCCCGTTCCTAGGAACAGAGAAGAGGGAGCAAGAGGGCTGGTTTAGCTGCGGTAAGAAAGAGTAACTCTGCCTTGTTGTCTTTTGCAAACCAATCAGAATAGAGCTAGAAGGGGCTTTGGAGGTCTTCTAGTCCAACCCCTTGCTCAAGTAGGAGACCCTACACCATTTCAGATAAATGGCTGTCCAGTCTTTTCTTAAAAACCTCCAGTGATGAAGCACCCACAACTTCTGAAGGCAAGCTGTTTTACTGGTTAATTGTTCTCACTGTCAAGAAGTTTCTCCTTAATTCCAGGTTGCTTCTCTCCTTGATTAGTTTCCATCCGTTGTTTCTTATCCTGCCTGCAGGTGCTTTGGAGAATAGCTTGATCCCCCTTCTTCTTTGTGGCAGCACCTCAATTACTGGAACGCTGCTGTCATGTCCCCCCGAGTCCTTCTTTTCTCTAGACTAGCCAATCCGAAATCCTGCAACTGTTCTTCATATGTTTTAGTCTCCAGGCCTTTAATCATCTTAGTTGCTCCTCAAATATAGCTCTGATATCTGTGCCAGACCTCAGCTCTAAGCTCTGGTCTTTGCTGACCCCGTGTATTTCCTTCCTTGCCCCTTCCAGGACATGCAGGTGACAGGAGTGGAAGACGACAGCCGGGCCCTGAATATCATCATACACAAGCCGGCTTCCAGTCCACATTCGAAACCTTTCCCCATCCTACAGGCGACCTTCATTTTTTCGGATCACATCCGTTGTGTCATTGCAAGGCAGCGCCTGGCCAAGGGGAGAATCCAGGCTCGGCGGATGAAAATGCAAAGAATCGCAGGTACCAGCCTGGTCCTCTTGTTTCTCTCGGGGTCCCACTGGGCTCCTTCATCTGTTGCAAATATGGCACGCTGGCCTGTTTTTTTCCAAGCAAGTCAGAAGCCATTCTTTGTTCTCAGTTTCCTCTTCCTGGCTAGTCTTGAGAGAGCAGTTGAGGAATCACAGCTCACATATCATATAAACCAGCCAGGAAGGAGCGTTTATCTGCAAAGGGGGGAAGACTTAAGGCCCGCCAGGCAAGGTACCCAGCCTCACTCTATGCTAGGGCAGTCTTGGCTTTCTTAGTTTCTTAGCCGAAACGTAATGTGTGTCTCCTTGAACCCAGCACTTCTGGACCTGCCAATCCAGCCAGCCAATGAAGTGATGGGCTTTGGACACAGCTCTGCTGCCACCCAACACTTACCATTCCGGTTTTATGAGCAAGCCCGACGCAGCAGCTGCGACCCAACTGTGCAGCGCTCAGTGTTTGCCTCGGTTGATAAAGTCCCAGGTAAGCTCCCTCCTCCTCTGCCTCCTCCCCCAGGTGCATCTTAGGTAAGATGTCACAATGAGGTTACAGTATTGTGGCCGAGGGAGGCGTGACCCAGACTTCTTTGGCAAATTAGTTTCTCTTTCTGCGATATTATTTTTAGAAGCATCTTCATTTAAAAAAATCTCATTTTTGCCACTCTGTAGCAAGAATGCTACCCTGGTGACATGTAAGAAAATTCAGAATCCAAAAACATAATAAATGAAATGAGTTAAAGATGTAAAAATAAAAAAGTTATCATTTTAAAAAAAGTTATTAAAACCTGATAATGCTGTTTACATACAAACCAAAAGAAACTCAGTTTCAGAAACTGTCCAGTTGAGACCTGGGGCTGGAATGGGGGGGGGGAGGACTCTTGAGGGCTTGTAGCAGGCATGTCAAACTGCCGGCCCACGGGCCAGATGCATCATACTGAAACTACGCCCACTCTATTGCTAGCAATGGGGGGAAAGTTGCGATACGTCACGCGACATCATGTGAGTTTGACATTTCTGGCTTATAGCAACCTGGCATCTCTCCAACAGATTTTTTTTAAATGTTCCAGGTATGTGCTAATGTTGCCTTGTTGTTTCTCTAAAGAAATATTTATCTGAGTCTGCTTATGATGGAGCCTAGATGTGAGAGAGTTAAACATGTGTGAGAACAGGCTCCACCAAAAGTGCTTCTAGTGGTGGTAGCTGTTGCGTTTAGATTATTTAATATCCTTTCTTTCCATCATTTCTGGTTCTGCTTTATTTATATGCAGCATTTAAACCTGGTGCTTTTATTTGCAATTGGCTGTGTTGTATATTGTGTTCATTATGTCTCTTGTCTATGAGTCTCATATAAGTAATCTCTTAAAACTCTGTTTTTGTTGATTAAAACAGATTGAAGTTATTTAAAATCTTCAATATAATAAAGCTAGGAAACTATGCTGTTTAAGTCATTGATTTAAATCAAATCTCTTGTTACCTATGCTTATTGCTAAGAATACTTACTACTCATTTGAATACTGAATATTTTAAAATTAAATTTTTATGTATTCATTGTTATAACATAGGTGTGATTCTCCTTCATACACTGTGTGTTTGTGAAAAAAGATCCTATAACGTTAGAAAATGATATTTTAAAAAATGAAATGCCCCAGGTTGATAGATCAAAGCAAAAACCTTGATAGTTCCAGAGTCTGTTGAATCCATTTCTTCTGGTATTGCCTGGACAAACCTAACAAAGTCTTCAGCTGTGGACTCCAGCTGGGAGATCCAACCTAGAAATGACCCGGGAGGGAACGGCTGGAAGTGATGCAGGCAGAGCCCACAGGTGGCCTTCTGTTCGGTGCTTGGGAAATAGTTGGGGTGGCCTCTCCAGAAGGCAGCCTCCAGATGCAGCGGGGCAGCAGTTCCAGAAGGCCTCGGCCCCGTCTAGATTTGGAGGCCAAGACGAACACAGCTGCCGCTTGCTTGTGGGCAAGAGTGCCGGTCGTTGCACAAGGGACGTGAGTTACGTCAGTTGTGTCACACAGTGCGGAGGCCACAGTTGGGGAGAGAGAGGCTCGCACCAGCCTTGGGCTCCGAACAAAGGTGCTCAATAGTATAAGCAAGGCGTGTCGTTTGTGGAGATGGGGGGTCTACTCCCCTCGGCGTCCCTTTCATTAGGATTCTGCATTCGGCAGAATAAAGGGCTCCAGATAAATCTGCTTCTGGGGGTCGGCTGGCGTGTTTTGGCTGAGAAGCATAAGGGAAGAGTTTGCCCAGGTTCGTGTGCGCTCTTGGCAGCTGTTCATACCGTAGCTCAGTTCAGACATCCAGTTTACATCCCAGCATCGCCTGGCTGGAAACAGGAACGCAGGGAGCCCGTTCCTTGGGTTTCCTGCTTGCCCATCGCCTCCCACGGCTTCTGACCTGGGAAAAGCAACTGGACCTGCCCCCTGCAAGCCGCCATTGGTTGGGCTGGGGGGGCCTTCCGGGTGAGCCTTTCAGAAGCCTTTCATCGGCCCTCAGTAGCCCCGGCTCACTAAGGCTGCAGCGAGGCATCCCTCCCGGCACCGTCCGGCAGGGATCTAGCCCAGATGGAGCAGGTGTGGTTAAAGGGTCTTCCAGGGCAATTTCATTACATGAGAGCCACTCTCTTTTGCAAGCAGGGGCACAGAGGAAGAGACCCCCCAGAAGGGACCCTGCTCCTCACCGCTGCCACCGCCGCTTCCAGTTCCTTTGCTTGAGGAAGCGATAGGCCAGAGAAGCCAGCCGTTGTTGTGGATGGAGGCTGCCGAATAGGAAGAGAAATAATCAGGCTTACGTGGACTGGGGGAAATGATGCATGGAAGCTTGGAACACTAAAACAGCTGAGAATCTGTACCCTCCGGGCCTTCAGTGATGGGGAGGGGGAGGGGGGAGGGGAGCCGAAATTTGATTTGGGCGGCCCAGCCGTGCCAGTGCAGATGGAGGGCTGAGGAGGCTGTGGGCCCGGGGCTCCGTCCGTCCACCCGTCCAGCTGGCCTAGAGCAGGATTGGCAGGCTGCCAAGGCAGAACGTGAAGCCCTGAGGTCTTTGGGCTTTGGTGTTAATCCCTTAGCCCAGGATGGTGCCCTTTGACCCCTTCATAAGGGTTTTTTTTTTCTTTTCTAGTTCTGCTTTTGAAATCTTTTTAGCTGGAAGCCTGACACCACATTACGGTAGCAAAGTTTACAGCAATGCAACAGAGCAGTTCAGGAGAAAAAAAGAAAGATGCCTTTTTTAGGTAAACAGTTTGCTGTGATTAGCTTGTTTTCCCCTTTTACAAACAGGAACGGCCTCTTTGCACCCGCAGCAGAATGATGTGTGGTTCCATAGAAGTTGTAAATGAGATAGTCCTTCTGATAGATTGGTGAGAAGTGGCTCTGTGCTAATTGGCCTCCTGATAGCCAAATGAGCATTTCTGAAGAAGGTGCCAGATAGCTCTGAGATAAGCCCAAGTCCTGTTTCTGAATTTGCATTGCAAGGCAGGGGATTTCACAACACTCTGTTGTGCTGCTGGTTATTTTCAATTATAGTAGCTGGGTGACAGTCAGTGTGCCTCAAGGCTCGTTTCCCATAAACCCTGTGGAAGAGTTACAAACCAGTAGTACAGCAGTTTTCCTTGGAAACCCATGTAACAGACCGTCACCAGGGCGGTGGGGAAGACTGGGGAAAGTTTAGGGATGTGGGGTTTTGCAACCGTGTTTGGAAGGCACAAAGCCCTCGCACACATGGGAGTAGAACCGGGCGTTTCTGTTGTTTTCCCTGGAGGGCAGGGTGCTTGGCTTTCTTCTTTTTCCTTTTAGCTGCCTTAGCCCGTTTCACAGTAGAACTCAGGGTATCATGTTATCGTTGTTGCTTGGAAATTGAATCATCACAATTTGTGTAGAGCAGGTGGGTTTCGGGGTTGAGTCTCTTTAGACTTTCCATGCAGCCACTGATTTTCTGAAGACTCTCTTGTGTTGAATTGAGGGGGGGGGGATTTTCTATTTCAAGTTCAGCAACCAGATTACTGAAGCAGGAGAGTGATCACTTGATTCAGAGGATTATAAACATGGCTCACGGCCCATTTTCAGACATTGCATTTTGGAGGGACCTGGTCCCCTCCCTGTCAATTCCCTTTCGGCCACCCTTATTTTTAAAAAATAAAACATTCTTTATTTCTGAAGTAAAATATCACAGTGTTGGGTTTCTTCCGCACTTCCTGAAGATAGCCACTATTTTCACTAAAGGTACCAGACCTTCAGCCTCTCTGAAGTTCTTTGGCTTTAAATTACCTTGAGGAGATGAGAAGTGATGGGTCTGAAATGTTTTATCCTAAGAAAATAATTTTGTAACCTGACTTTTCATGATCTGATGATCCAGATGTAACTATGTTTGTCTTCTCACTGTCTACTTGTAATGATAAATACCAACCATTTCCCCGTGTTACTTAACATTTTGGGACAATGCACTCGTTCTGAACTTTCTACCCTTGAGATTTTATTGACTTCTAGCTCTTGACTGAAATGTCTGTTCCTAGAAATTGGTCTTCTGATACAGTGATTTTCTTGAGGTGGGGGGAGGGGGCAGAAAACTTTCTTTTGCAAATGTTGAACCATCCCCCCCCCGCCCGCCCTTCATTCTGCCGGTGCCATGAACAACTGATTTTTAGACCATGAAGTGTTCCCAAGGTCTACCTAAATAACAGGTTTATCGACTTCTGTGAAGTTGTGGTTTTCAAAAGTATTGTATTTTCTGGCAGACCTGGGTGCCATTTCCTGTTGCTGATTTTGTTAAAAATCTTTTTCATAGATTTCTTACCTCTTCAGTTGAAGGTGGCAAGCTAAAGATTGGGCTCAGTGATCACATTCTCAAAATTCTGCCGTGCATTTGGATCACTGGGGATTCAGCTGGAGGTCTGGGGTCAAGAGGAGGCTGGGCCTTGCCAAGCAGCCTGCTCCCTTGTCCTTTCTCAGTTCCTGCCAGGTACCATAATTTGTGGTGCATTTAACATGGAATGAACTCCCGTTACGCAAAGACTTCAAGGAGCTCAAACTAGTTTCATCCAGCATTTGGGCAAATAGTTGGGAGCCAGGCAGGATACACCTTTGATAAATAAACTCTGCCCCTTTGCTGAGCCTCCAAGGCAAGACCCCGAGCACCTCCACACAAAGGCCACAGAAATGCTAGTTGGAGGCTGTCAGTGCCAATCTGGCACACAGTAGTTGGACCCTATGGGCAGAGTCACCATGGAGAACAGTAAACAAAGCTGCCATCATTTGGGTGGCATTGATGACGAGCTCTTCCAGGGAATCCCCTCAAGTTATAGGGCAGATGTCAGCAGAGCTCTGGTGATGTCAAATCTGTGTCATTTGCGAGTGTGGTCCTGTTGAGTGAAGGCAAAGCAGGACAGCCACAATTTGGAGGCTGCGGCTTTTCTCCTCTGTGGTGGCTGCTTGGAAGGAGGGCTCCCGGAAGTCCCGTTCCCAGGAAGCTCTTGAAAATGGGAGAGGGAAGTCAGGCTGACTGCTGGGAGTCGTGGCCATCAGCACTTCCAAACTAGCGGAGGGAGGCAGAGCTTCCCTTGGAGTCACTATAAACAGGAAAGCTGGAGGAAGTTGAATGTGAGTCACCCATACAGATTAAACACTGTGCTAAGAGTGGAGCTCCCCCACTCTGTCCCAGCCTTCCCCTTACAAAGAAGTTGTATAAATGTTCCTTTTAGCAGAACAGCCTTGGGCAATCGAGGAATATCACAGTCTCTTCCTCCTCCCCCCCCCTTTCCAGAAAAATCTGCCAATCAATTTATGCATCGCTAGTGGCTGGAGTCCCTGGCCGCCAAGAACGTTGGGTGTAGGCAGTGTTTGAGCTTGGAGCCATGTTTACCAGCCTAACCACTTTTAAGACTTCAACTCCCAGAATTCTAGAGCCAGCATGTGCACCTGCTCTCAAGAGGCCTTGAGGAAATGAGGGAGGAGGGCGAGAGGTCTGTAAGCTTCCAGGAGAGGAACCAAAGGTTGGCTGGGTGAGCCCCTGGCCGGTTCTGCCCACGGCACTCCTCAGCCTTTCTGCAACAGATTAGGTTTTTATAGCCTTGTCCTTACATTTTTAGAACTGGATTTAGAATCACAAGAGCTAGGAACTATTTTTAAATGCCAGTTGAACTTCTCAGGAAGCTGAGTCCAACATCTGGTGGGGATTTTTGTTTGTTTTGATTTGGTGGCAGTTCCCCAGAAGGATGGTTGGAGGCAGTTTGCCGTTGCCAGGGACAGTGGGGTGCATGGCGGCCAATGGGGCCTGTGTGTGCTCCCCATATGGAGGCAAGAACCCAGCAAAGCGCTGTCTTCCCAGGGCAGTGGCCTTTGGGGTGCTGGAGTGTGTTTCGTTCTGATCTTCCACTTTGATTAGCGATGTTGGGAGGGAATTAGGGAGTTGACCTCCCAGGTGCAGCTTCGTTGCCCAGTCGTGTTCCCCAGCCCTCGAGCTCACTTGCCTTTTGCTCAGCAGGGCAGAAGGAGAGGCCTCCTCCTTCCCAGGAATTGCCCCAGAGAGGTGCGGAAGGGAAGGCTCCTCAGCACGGGAGTTAAGATGATTTATGTCCGTCTCCCAAGCACCCAGCCACCAGTTCCTTATGAGCCACTCCTCTGGGCTCAGCCTCTCTTTGGTTTTGTGTACCTTGTTTGTGTTTTAAAACGTTGCCAAGCCAGGGAAACAAGCAGACTTTTGCCCATCATTCCCTGGTGCACTGAGTGATTGACCCATCAGGTCTCCTGGGATTGCCAAGCGGATGGACGTGGGCACGAGCAAGGCCTTGGCCACCTGGCTGAATCCTGGCCCTTTGAAGTGGCCCATCTTGCAGCTGGATGGCCAGTACGGGAGGAGAGCGCTGCTCTTCTTCGCCCCGGGTGGGAAAACTCTTCTCTGCTTGGGGAGGTGAGCTGGAGGGAGCGGCTGATCCTCCTCAATGGCCAGAGGAGTGGTGGAAGGAACATTCCCAGGCTACCTTCTGCCTCGTTTGCTGAGCAGCTTGCAGGGAAACGTGGATACGACTCCCTTGGAGAAAGGAGGCTCCCTTGCAGCTCGGAGAGCCTCCCCCAGAAGCAGACTCAGAGGGCTGGAGAATTATTCCAGGGAGAGTTTTCTGGAGAAACTACAGAAAGTTCATTCCGTGACCTCGTGGGAGGCTTGCAACAGTCCTGTTCCTGGTAGCCACGGAGGATTGTCAACCTGCATCAGGGGCTTTTTGTTGCCTGAGTGGGGAGGGCAGCAATTCTTGGCGCTTGCCTGGGGAGAAGGGCGGGATGATGTCCCCGTCAATCGTAGGCCGGAGTCCTTGCTGGTGGCAGTTGCCCCTTCCCAGAAGCAAAAGGAGAGGAATGTCTGACTTGCCCGGCAGGGCCCTCCTGAACCTGCCCTGTTGTGGCCAGACTCGGTTTCCCCCCACGCTGCCCTTCTCCCGGCGGCCTCAGAGTGTCTCCTTCGGTGGTGAAGAGGCTGGTGTGTTTCCGCCACCGGCTCTTGTGTAAGTCCTGCCTTCCTCTCTTGCAGGTTTTGCAGTAGCCCAGTGTCTCGACCAGCACCACCCGTCCTCCTCCTCGCCGTCCCCGTCCTCCAGCAGGAGCACCGGGTGCTGCGACTCGGCCGTGGCCAGCTCCACGTCCACACCTTCCGTCGCACAGAGCCCCTCAGGTATCCGCACCTGGCCTTCTAGCGAAGGCGACTCTGGGGGTTGAGCGGGGTTGAGGTCATAAACTTGATTTGAACTCCACTTGAAGTTTTAATGAAGCTGCTTAACTGTACAAATACTATCATTTATTAGTAACCGTTCTGGAAAACATAACACAAGCAAAGCGATCTGCCAGATTATTTTTCTTCGGAAACAGCTTCTCTGCAATCTGGACAAATTAACTGGCTACGTGTCTGAAAGCCACATAGCTTTGGGTCCCCAGCCCAGTGCTTGGTTAGCAGGAGGGGTCATTCTGAGCCGCTTAGAGAAGTGCTGTTCCAAGCTTTCCCCGAATCTATGCCCTCCGTTCAAAGTCTGGGCACCAAGTTGCCCAGGTGAAGAAACGCAGCTCCGTGGCTCCTGCCGGGAAAGGAAGCGTCTCCTTTTGGCAGTGCATGGAGCAAAGTCCGTGATGCCCCCCAGCAGAGGGTGCCCAGCAGCAGCAGCAGCAGCAGCAGCAGCAGCTTTCCCAGCTAACAGCGTATGAAAAGGCAGGCGCTTTGCTGGCTACCAGACTCCTTTCCACAAAAGGACTTTGCTCTCTGCCCTGCTTTGGCCAAATTGCTGGCCTTTCAGTTCTACTCGAGTGTAACTCAGCGTGGAGCCCAGCAGGGGCCAAAATGAGGGTGCAAGACACAGGCAAAACAGAGGACTGGTGGTTTGTCCCTCAGGGTAGCAAACCATTCATAAAATGGGAGAGAAATGCTTTAATGATTGAAGAACCTTCTTAGGTATCCTAAGGTAAGGAAATGAGAAATGTGTAGTAAATACGGAGGACTGAGCTGATGATGAGGCAGCTCCCGAGAAGCTGGCAGACTTCCCGCTTTGCTTTCTTCTTCTTTTTGCTTTTCCTGTCCTTTTCCTTGTTGGTTTTCAATCGAGGACCCTGCAGGGAATTCTTAACGGCCCCTGGGAACTGGAAAGAGGAAGCTTTCCTTCGGGCACCCAGGAAAGTCCCTGAAGATTTATGAAGCGATCATTTGCTGCAAAGCTCAAAGGGGACTTTAGTGCTTTCACTTGGATCAAAGTTCGCCAGCATGGTGGCCGTGGGAGAGAGTTACTGTAAAGTCCCTTCAGTTTTTACAAAAAGATGGAACAAAGAGGAAAAAAGACGGCTGAATCCAGCCAGGTTCCTCCACTGGGGGTGGAGTCTCTGCCTTGCTCTCCCCCGCTGGCCTTTCCTGCCCAAGGACAGGTGGCTCCAGGCCCTGCCCAGGCTGTAGGAAGGCAAAGTCCAGCCGGGCCTCAGAACAACCCCGTTATGTAGTGGACTGGGTGGTCTGAAGACGCCTGCCTGCCTAAAAGGGGAGCGTTAAGAGGGAGCCAAGTTGGCCAGGCTGCCTCTCCGCATCCCACAGGGAAGGGCCTTTCCCTCCCCCCAAGCCCAGCATTCACGGCCAGCCCTCTTTGGAAGTGCCCCCCCCCCGTGGACGGCCTCCTTACTTAAGACCTGAGGGGTGGAGTTGAAGGACCTCAGCTCTGGAGAGTCCCTGGTCTTCACCCCAGGCCCATCTGGGGTTGTGTAATCACAGCTTTGCATACCGAAAATAGGCAGAGTGGATCCTGGTGGGAGCTCCCTGTGAAGGATGCGGCAGCCTTGGAAAGCGCTTAGGGCCTCTCAAAACAGGAGGCGGCATCAGTGCGTCCCCTCCCTCCTTTTCCTCTGCTTCCTGCTCCTCCCCCCCCCATAGCTTTCCCGGCCATTTAGCGTGCTAAATTCTGTCTTTGTCCCGCCCCTTTTTCATGCCGCTTCCATGCCTTCTTTTGGGTTTAAATAAATGAAGCCATACCTTCAGCCTTGTGTTCCAGGTGCAGGATCTCAGGCTTGCTATGTGGAAAGATCATTTTCTCCACCGTATAATGTGTTGTGGTCGTGAAATGCGGGGGACTCTCGCCGAGATCTCTGAAATCAGAGCACGCTTGCTTGCTTCCTTCCTTTGTAAGTGGGGACGTGAGCCTTGTCTTGGGGCCCCATCCTCAAGGCAGGCCGAGGAGGATACCGTTGCTGTTGGGCGATTGACGTCTCTGCCTTGGTGGTGCTTGTGTTGTTGTCACACTAACGTGTCCTCCTTCCTGTTTCCTTCCTCCTGACATTCCCCCTCCCCGCTCCAGTTGTTGAAGGCTTCCTATGATATCTCCCTGTGCTTCCCTCTAGTAAGGCCGGGCAGGAAAGGACGCCGGAGAGTGCTTAGTCTTTCAGAGGCTGAGAGTCACGGTGGACACTGGGTTTAGGCCGTCCAGCAGCAGTGGCCCCCGTCCTGGCCAAGCCCTCTCAGGCAGGTCTCCTCTTGGATGTGTTTTCGTGCACGCGTCTCTCGCACCCGGGTTCTGTGCTAATCGGGCGCACCTTCCTCCTCCTGCCCCAAAATGGCTTCTCTTACACACACACACACACACACTTCCTTGAAAGAAAGGCAGCTTTCCCCTTCTGGGCAGAGAAGGTCTCTGGGGGGGGGGGGATCTGATGGGATCTGACAAAGCCACGGGTGGAACCGGCAAGTGGATCAGATCCCGGGAGCCCGGGGACACAGGCCGCTCTTCCTGCCATAACCTCAGGAGCTGCTTGGAGGTAAATTCAACGGAATCTGAAAACTTCAAACGCGGCTTGATTGAAGCAAGCTGGTTTTTTTTAGCAGGAGGGGCTTCCTTTTGTTCGCAAGGGATGACTTGGGTGTTGGCCGTGTTTTCATTTTGCAACGCGTTGGCTGCTTGGTTTTATTTGCATTTTCCTTTACACCCAGGATCACTTTCTTCCCATCTTAGAGTTTCTGGCCCCTTCTAGAGGGGGAGCCCATGGGGAGGGTCACCTGCCAAGACACTTCCATTCTCCCGCGTGCCCCCCTCCCCCCCCAGCATTCTGTGCACGGCTGATGAGATGCTCCCTAGTTTCAGCTCAGTGGCTGTGCTGAGAGCTCGCCTGACCTGGTGAAAGAGCAGCTCTTCTGGGGACATCGAGGCAAATGAGGGCAGTTTTCCAGCGAGAGAAATATTCTCTTGCCACCCTGGCCTTGACTCTTTTGCTCCTGGGTTCCAAGAAGTGCTCGGGTGCCGAGAGGCGACTGGCCCGGCTGAAAAGGGGGCGTCCCTCCAAACCCATCTGCCGACCTCTCGGCCGGGGCCCCGATGGAAAGACCCCCAGAAGGTCTTTGGCTTTGCTCCAGCTGAGAGGCCATGAGCCGGTCTCCCGCGTGCTTATCCCAGCAACATTGAGCTACCCAGCGGCCGCCCCGGCCCGTTCTGGCACCCAGGTCTGTGGCCGGGCAGCTGCGGCCATGGAGTGGTCAGGAAGGCCCGGGCCTGTTGGGATCCCGGTCTTTTCCTGGTGGTACCTTGTGACAGTTGGATGGGCTAGTTTTAATTTACGGGGAAGGCTTTAAGTCAATAGCATTGATAATCCGATCGATCCTCCCCGTCTGACCGAAACCGAGATGGCCTTGGTTAATAAGTAAAGACCTGGGCTTGCTGGCAGCAGAGATGGCCCCTGGCCTTGGGCCACCTTGGCAGGGGAAGCCCCTGGGAGGCAGAGCGAACGGGGCTCAGGCTCAGAGCAGCCTTCCCTGGAATGGCAGTGCCCTTGCCCCCCTCCCCCTGCCAGCTGGAGATGGGCAAAGGCCTGACCTGGCAGGGGCTGTTTCGAGGTCCCAGCAGCTCAGCCTTCTGCCCCGCCCCCTGCCCCCCCCCCCACGAGGATTTCAGAGTGCCTAGGCATCATCCCTGGCAGGACCACTTTGGGCGGGAACTGGGCTTGCTGGGTCCCTCCCAAGTCCTGCTCTGCTGCCTTCGTCATCCAGAGGCCTCTTCCCGGAGGGTCTGCTCCCTCTTCCTGGGTTGGGGGCCTCTTAGAAAGGGTTAGGCTTCCCAGGAGTCGCCTTCTGCCCCGTCCCCTCCTCTGTGCTCTGGGTCTTCTCTCCTCTTCCTCTCAGGACCATTTCTTTTCCCTTCCTTTGACTCCCCGATTCTTCCCCTCTCCTGTTTGAAGTTTTTGGATTACCAGAGCAGAATCCCCCTTGCCCTGGGTGGGTGGCTTGTCTGCACAGCCTGCCTCCTCAGTGGGAGGGGTCTGCGGGTGCCCTCCCTGCCAAGCAAAGGTAGGATCCAGAAGGAGAACCTGATCTAGAGCACTGCTCTTCTTTCCTTGATGAATGCATCATTTTTTCTGCGTGAAATGGACACTCGAGGCAATTTAAGAGAGACACACACACACACACACCTTTGTGTGCAGATGCATGGGCAACAGTGCATTAAGACCTTAATGTCAAAGTCAGACTGTTCCATGCCTGTGGACTCCTCGTTTGTAGGTCACCCTAGCTGGAGGCAGGGAGGAGAAAAAGGACCATTAACTGTCACTTTGTAAGGTAGGCAAAGTTCAAAGGTTCTTGGGAAGGAAAGAGGACAGCTCCCAAGATTAAAGGAAGGGAGAAGCCTCTAAGATTGGAGAAGAGAGCCAGAGCGGTGTTCTCAGTAAATACAAAGTCAGCCCTGGGTTAGCAAACATTTATCCAGGTTTGGGAAGGATCGGCCTAGATTGCCTAAGTGTGCCAGGCAGACCCTCCAGGGTGGTGGGCAAGGAAAGAGAATCCAGGTCGCCTGGCAGCCTTTCCTCCGAGTGTGACGGGTGGCCCCCTTTCCTTCCGCAGATGACTCGGTCACGCTTGAGCAGGCTCTGCCCTCCTCGTCGTCCTGTTACCTGTCCGCAGCCGATCGCTCGTTGCCTCCGGTTTTGAAATCTGGCAAGAGCCACTCCAGGAGCGAAGCAGAGACGGCCGCCTTGTCGCCCAGCCTGATTCCTGCCCCGCAGCCGACCATCTCCTTGATCTCCAAGGACAGCACGGACAGCCTGAGCATCGAGTCGCTGACCCTGGTGCCCCCCGTGGCTGCAGACAGCATCCTTGCTGTGGGCACTGCCCAGTCCCTGGCTGTGGAGTCAGAGGCCTTCACGGATCCCCAGCAGCAGTCCTAGCCGTTGCTCAGGCGGCCCCCTGCTGATCTCCCCAGCGCAGCAGGTCACAGGTTCTCTGAAATAATAAACAGTAGCCAGCGTTTCTTTAAGGGAGAAGTCCATGAGAGGCAGCTGTGGGACACTGCGGGGGGGGGGGCAATTGAAGGGGTTGGGGATGTTTTGGAAGGACCTGTGGATTTTTTCCTTGGTGGTTGGTTCTGTTCCATTTGCTGCCAGCAGAAGCAGCAAAGCCACGTTGCCAGCTCCTCTGGGATGGACCCTCACCCAACTTCTGCTCGCTGCTTTGGCCAGGAATGGGCTCTCAAGGAACCGAAGAGGGATTTCCCCCATGAACATGCGTGCGCGCACACATGCACACACACACACACACTCTATTTGAGCAAAACTCGTCTGGTCTACCAGCCTTTCGCAATTTCATTTTTCTTGGTTTCTTTCCTTCAATTAGAGGGCAGGATAGTCTGTGGAACTCCACGGTGAGCTGGCCACTTGTACTCATAGCACTAACTTTAATATTCTGCTTGTGTGTATTCCCTGTGAAATAATTTTAACTTGAAGTTGTACGCACATGCCTATTACGGGTGGGGATTTACAAATACAGAATTCAGACTTTTTGCATACATCTGAGGGCTGCTTTGGGTGAACACATGGAGGAATGTCGTCAAGAGTTTTGTGTAAAGGATTTCAGAGGAATGTAAAATATTTTAGCTTACTGATCCTGTCCTTCATTTCATTTTTGTGGGGGGGGGAGTGGGTTGAGTAGAATCTCAGCCCCAGTTAATTCAGATTAACTCCTAAAACGAATCCAGAGGGGAAACTCTACATAACCAGTGAGTGCACCAAACCCCCCAAGGAAGGTCTATATGGCCGCAAGAGACCCCCCAGGAAAAACTGGGGGCTGGGCTTGTCTCGGGAAAACTCCCACGCAGGCTTTGGGGCAGCAACTCCTGCCTAGGCTGACCCCCCCCCCCAGTCGCTTGTTTGATTGGTGAGCTGGAACTAGAACTATTTTCCAAGGACTTCCAAACCGCACATTTTGGACCCCACCCCATGCTCATTGCCTTCCTTGGTTGGGGTTGAGGGGGGGGATGAGCCCCCCATGCCTAAGGAGTGCCCTGTAACCCCCCCCTCCCAATCAGTTGAGGACCCACCTCCCCAGTCCAGCTTTTTACCGGCTGTGATTCAGCCTTTGGTGAATCAGTTTCCTTTCTGATGCTGATACAAAAGATGTTATCTTCTCTCTCTCTGACTTCTTTTTAAACAATTAGCACTTTTTATATCCCTACCAGCCTGGCTGCCCAGGTTGACTTGTCTGTGACCATTGATTTCCCAGGAAAGCAACTGATCCTGTTGAGACACAGCGGAGGAAAACATTTCCTGGGAAATTGGCAGCCGCCACAGCAACTTCACAGACAGACACAGCAAACTTCTGGGGAGGGGGAAGTGTTGCTGTGTTTTCAGGAAGATTCTCCCCCCCCCCGCATTCTGTGAGAGGGATGTGCCCACAGCAGATGAGGAAGGGGGGCTCAAGGGGGCTGGGCGTTAGCTGAGCAGGAGGTCTCTGGCCCCCAAGCTGGCCCTTCCTTTTGGTTGGGCTAATGGTGTCAGGGCTGGCCCTGCCTGCCACCCCAGCTAAGAATATTGGGAATTGTAGTCCGGTCTCTCCAAGTAGGAAGAGTTTCCACAGCATGACGTGGCACGTTGCATGTCTGAAATCACCACAATATCTCTGAGTCATGGCTGGAATCTGGCCCCTGTCCCGGTCCAGCTGAGTCAGACTCCAGGAGCGTCGCAAAGAATCCCAACTTTGGCCCAGAAAAGGTAGGAGCCACATCTGCAGGTATGCCAGTGGGGCCTGGGGGAGCTTCAGAAGCCAGATGTGCCCCCCAAGTGCCTCTAAGCTCCCCTGTGGCCAACCGGGTGGGAAGCCACGCCAAGGCCAAAGGCCGCCCAGACTTCCACCCGCAGGCTGAACAAGCTCGGGCTCCTTGTGAGGGGGAGGGTTTGTTCTGCAGAAGGCCGGACCCCTCCTCCAAATAAACTCTGGGGTGCTTGAGCAAGAAAGCCCAAAGCCCACCCCCCGCATCTTTCACTGTCCAGTCATGAGCATGAATGACATAACTGGAAAGAGGTTGGTTTGCCCTGCACAAGTCCCTCTCCTGTGGCCAGGCTGCTCAGACCCGGGGGAAGGGGCTTCTTGCTTTCCCAGAGGGCCTTTGGCCCTTGGGGCCAGCCTGCTAAGGCAGAGATCACCTTCCATGCAGGTTACACTCAGTGACCCCGAGAATTACTCCTCTCCTGCCAGCCCCCCTGCCCTGGCCACTTCCTCACTTGCACCGGCTTCCTTCCCCTGAGGAGGGGGCTGGCTCAGCCCCACGTGCCGGCTAGCCTGAGCGCCAGAAGCGCTTCAGTTTGGCTCTTGGCCAGCGGCCCAAGTCAAGGAGAGCAGAGCGAGGGGTTGGAGGGCAGCAGCTCCGCTTTCCTGCACAAGGGGCTCTCCAGATGGGTAGCATCACAGAGCCCATCATCCTCAGCCAGGGAGACCTCACCCAAGGTTTCCAGGGTGAATTTTATACTGCCTGTGCCCCAAGTGTGGGAGTTCTGCTTTCTATTACTTGTGCATTAGATTTATTTTATGTGTGCGTTGCCTTTTGTAGAGGAACCCAAGGGGGACGATGCTGGCTTCCCTCCCGGGGGTCTTCCAAGATGGCGGGCCTCGCCTTCTCCCCTTGTGCCCCTCTCCAGCAGGCAGGGCTGCTCTAGCGTGGAACGGTCTGTTCCCAAACACCGGATTCTTTCCTTGCTCTGGCAGTATCTACAGGCAGCGACTGGATGGCCCTCCCACAAGAGGGAAGTTGACCGGAGGAGTCCAAATAAGGCCACAGAGAAATCCCAGCTCTCTCTGGGGGGCAGAGAGGTCGCAGAAGAGCCAGCAAAAATGGTCCCACAGCTGGACAGGAGCCTTTTGTGGGGGGAGTCAGAGAGAGGGATCACCCCGGCCTCCCCAATGAGTCACAGACCCCTCTGCTCCCACGGTTCCCCCCCTTCCAGAAAGCAGCTTCCCTCCCCAGGAAGAGGCACCCTCTTGATTTGGGGAGAGCCAAGCCACCTAAAGGATTGGGGGGGGGGGGCTGGGGTTGTTTGGCAGGTAGAAAGCTGTTCCCTGCTGTCCCCTAAAATCCTGAGGGGAGGAGCAGGAGCAGACAGGATGCAGTTCCCCAGTCCTGCAGTTTCTGCAGGGAGAATGCAGAAGCCCTGCCACTGCAAGAATGTGTGTGTGTGTGTGTGCGAGCTTGTGCGTGCAAGGCTTTGCATCATCTTGTTCCTCTCTCCCATGTCCAGGCCTGAGGAAGGAACAGGGCAACTCCTCGGAACCGGTTCAAAGAGGGCAAAGTCACACCAGGGATCGTAAAGGATCTGATTGGCACCAGGGCTGCCTTTCCGCCCTGCCCTGGCCTCCTTTTGTGCTGCCTCTCACCTTCGCTGGAGTGTCCCCCAGCGCTCCTCGTCCCGTGCAGACGTTTGAATGGCCACTGCCAGGAAAGCTGGAGGAATCTGATTCTTTGGCAGAAGATCACATAAATTTCCACTTGTTCCAATGTGCTTTGTGCTGGGAACTCATAACGATGTTTGCTGTCTCCGAGCAGGCGCAGGTGGGCACAACCTGTGCCATGAAGAATGTGGGCACAACCTTCAGGAGTTGTGGGTGCTCCATCACTGGAGGTTTTTAAGAAGAGACTGGACAGACATTTGTCTGAAATGGTACAGGGTCTCCTGCCTGAGCAGGGAGCTGGACAGGAAGACCTCCCAGGCCCCTTCCAGCTCCATTGTATTCCTTGTCAGCCCAAAGCTTGCTCTCCCAGCCCCCTCTGGGCTTCTGACAGGATCCAGGGATTACCCGGATTAGAGCTGAGGAGATGCCTGTCTCAGCCGGTCAGTTCTGGTCCAGATCCTATTGCAGAGTTTCTGTTTCCTCCACAGCAGCTTCTTCCACTTTCCCTTTATCCAGGCTGCCTGCATTGGGATGGCGCCCCACAGCAAGAGGGGGAGAGAAAGACACAACAGCCTCTGCAAAACCCTGATTCTTCAGAAGGTCCCTGGGCAGCGAGACCCGGACCTTCACACAGTCCTGAAAGGTGAGCCTTGGCCTTGAACTGCAGACACTCCAGCATTTGGACAGTTTAACCAAGGGCTAATTTCCACACCTTTCTGTTAGGACTCCGTGCCTTACCCTGTACAGAAACTACAATTAAAGTATAGCTCTCTTCACTAGAGTTAGGGGAGAAATTAATTTAATCTGAATTAAATTTAGACATAGTTAGTTCCACTTTTTGAACCAATAGCAAAGTTAAGTTATAAGGAAAAGAATACCCTTGCTTCTCCAGATTTTGTTCTGTTCCTGAAAGTCGTGTTTTGCATCTGGGAAATGGTTTGCATAAGGTATGTACACTTGACAAAACTGAAAAGAGAAATTCCTAATGAAAAAGTGCATCTTGGGCATCTACATATTTAGGTACAAACAATTTTTTCTTAAAAACTGAAGCGAACCTGATGGAATCGCCCCAATTAGAAACTGAGAAAAACCCAGCAGGCTAAGATCTGCCTTTTCTTGCCCCTGATTTGAGCAACGTGGAATGCCAGCAAGGAGGGGCAATCCTATCCCTGGCGCCCAGGGCATTTCCTCATGGTGTGCTTTCCCTGCTCCTGCTGGGTTATTGGAACTCATCCCAGCCTCCCTGCAGAAGGGGGAGGGGGATGCCAGGCACAGGTCAGGGTCTGGGGCAAGTGTGGATCCAGTTGTAGAAAAGAGCCCCTGAAGCAAAGCTGCCAAGAAGGTGCTGCTCTGCCTGTGAAATACTTGTTGGGCAACACTTGTGTGAACAGAGACTGCAGCTTCCTTGTGTGATTTTGTTTTCTGCTTAATTATTCCCCCCCCACACACACACACACACACCTCCAGCTTCTCTAGAAGCAGCACTCTTTCTGGGTAAGAAGCATGTTTTGGCCCAGGGCCAGACACACCCCAGTTGCTATGCGCCAGGCTGGGCTGGCCCTGTTGAGGCTGCTTTTTTGGGCAATGGAGAAGGTGTCGCCAGGAGGAGGGAAGGGGCGGTCATGGCCATCTGCTTCTGCGCCGGGGTCCAGGTGGGCTGTGCGTGTTGCAGCCAAGCAACACCTGAACCCTCATGGAGCCTGGGGGGGATGCTAGGCTGCTGTATGTAGGGCGCCAAGAAGCCAGGGGCCTGGTGCATCTGCGCACACTTCAGGAAATTTGGGATCCCTGGTCTTGTGCACCTTCACTAGGACAGGAAGGCAAGAGGTGAGCAAAAAGATGTAAATACAGATCCCAAAACTAACATGGATCCAGCAGTGGGCTTGGCCTCCAGATGCTGGCCAATAATAAAAATAAAACTTGCAACAGCTCACATCCTGTGACGAGACCCCATATGCCTATCCCAGTCCTCGGGAAAGACTCAATAGGTGGATAAAAATGCCAAATGCAGGCTAAACGTGGCTGACTGAGCGACCAGCCATCATAATACGCCTTTCAACAGACCCTCAAAATTCTCAGCGGTCTCGGGTGCCCATGGCCCTCCCTGCAGCCCCCCCACAAAGAGAGTCGCAGACGGGGCTGCTCCCAGCACTCCAGTGGGGTCTCTGGCAGGTCTCTTGCCCAGATTCTGAGTGCTCCTTTTCTATACATCAAAAAAGCTTG